CATCCATAGGATGGGTATCCTTGTATGGTAATGGCTTCCAAACCAACGACATAAGGATCAAGTTCTATTTACGCAATTCTACAGCAAATATTCTAACCACTGCGCCCGACATCCCAAAACTTTCAACAAAATATCTTGGGCACAGATTGCTTCCTTTGTTGATTTCATATTTGTGACGTTTTTCAAATACCTGTACAGATGACTCCATTTCCTTTGAACCCCCTTTGACAACTACAACTGTAGTTTCCAGCTGTGTTTTCACAAGTGGCGTTCACATGACATGAATTTGCAGTTGCTGCACATTCATCCACATCTGATGTAAATAATAATATTGTAAACAAAACGTAGAGTGATAATATACATGTATGTTCAACACACTTTTATGAAAACCTTCGGTAAGTTATGATTATTTTTTTTTAAATTTGCATTTAGGTTCCAATGAATAACAACGTACCTTTACAAACATATCCATTTCCCTGAAACCCCATGTTACATAAACAATCATAATTTCCTTTCGTATTATTGCATATCGCATGTTTAGAACAATTGTGAATATTATCTGTGCACTCATTAACGTCTGAAAAAGAATGAAATTGTTTAATTCAGTTTAACGTTCTATTAAAAACCCTAAATGTGACTAATTAATTAATTTGGGTTTAGCCTTCTAAAAAGGATTTTTTTTATGAAAAATACATTACAAAGATTATTTTTAAATAGATTAAAGGATGTTTTTCTTTATTTTTTAAAACTACAGATAAATGTACGATGCAAATACCTTCACAGACGTGTCCATTTTCTTTAAAACCATCAGAACAACTACAAATATGGCTTCCAACCAAATTGGTACAAATAGCGTTCTGAGTACATGTGTTGTTGTCTTCTTTACATTCATCAATATCTTAAAATAAAAATATGTTTCAGGAGTGCAATAAAGGAGAAAAACTTGATTTATAATTTTAATTTTGAAATAAAAACCCAGTATAGTTCCACAACTATTCTAACTTCAAAGAAAATCGACTTAACGGGCAATTCGATTATTTTTTTTCATGAGCCCAAAAAAATATAATTTTAAGCTAATATATTATTCAAAAAAATATTTTATCAACCTTCACAAAGATATCCATTTCCACGAAATCCCTTTAAACAAGTGCAATGAAAAGATCCATTTGTGTTAGAGCAGGAAGCGTTTTCTGAACAATTATGAATTGCTTGCACACATTCATCGATATCTACAGGAGATGAGGAACCAAAAATATATATTAAAAAACATATCAAGTAAACAAAATCTTTATGCTACTTAAAGATGACAGTGTAAAAAAAAACAGGAATTTATTGTTTGATGTCATTTAGTTATATACATTTTTCATGGAATTTTTAAAGTTCTGATAGGTAACGTTATAAATTTAACCTTGAATTTAGCAAAATGACAATTCCTGAAGTTTTAAACAATCTTTGTGTGAAATATAAACTTCTTATAAGATGCCATTTGGGTGTCATGGACCAAATTAAATACAGTTTAAATATTTCACCTGCAAACTATCTTGAATTTGCTGCAAGCTGGAAAGACAGTACGTGAATAATACCGGTAATACATACCCTTAGATTACATACAATGTATGTGTAAATATGGGCTTCTAATGTTCCCTCATGTACGTTATAGTCAGGACAGGAATTGCATATTTTAGAAGGGTGTTATTCAGAAACATATTTCATTTTTTCCAGTAACCTTGAACTTACCTAAATGGTAATCGATCAAGGTCAAATCAGACCATTGGGTCATAAACAACCATTGTACTTAGTATGATTATTTTTTATAAAAATAGCTTTGAACCTGATTAAATACAGTTTGGTTAAGGTTCTGATACTTTTATAGGTTTGAATGAATTCTTCTAGTCTGCGAACTACCAAAGTTTTATAAAGTAGACACGAATTTTAAGTTTTTTTGTAGGTCACATTAAACTTGCTGGAATGGCTTCGGGTAATTAAATATAAAGATATTTCCTCAGATAATAAATACCGTTTGTACCAGGTAAAGGTTTCTAGAAAGTATTTTTCTATGGATGTTTATTCAAAATATATCATAGACTGACAGGCGAACACGTGGATTCCAATATATCCCAAAATTTCGTTTGTGGGAAAATAGTTGGCAGTTAATAGCTTATGAATTGCTTATACCTGTGCAGTTGTATCCATCGCCGCTGAATCCATCCTTACAGTTACAATTATAACTTCCATCAGTATTGTTGCAAAGAGCATATGGAGAACATTCATTGCTTTCTTTACATTCGTCAATATCTAATACAGAAAAGCAATCATAATTTTAACAGTTTAAACACCAAAAACTTTTATTCTCGGCATAGCTTTTTTTACTGCCTCCATCAACTTAACATGCAAAATGTTGGAATTAATATTTTAAACTAAATATAAATGAGATCTATGTTTGCTGTCGTTTGAAATCAATTTTGTAGAGGTTTAAATCAATGTATTTGTAAACAAAAATGCCCTGATTGGATCCATTTTAGTCCCTATAATACATGTACAATGAAAATAGCATACAGGTAAGTGAATCAACAGAACATAAATTATACGTGTGCATTTAACAATTAATGTCAAAAACACTTTAAGACAATTGGGAAGATATGAAGTTAACATGTTACAATTAGTGTTGTCAAATCGGACGATTTTTAGTAATCGGTTACTCGCTTATGCCTCAGTCACATTGCCCGGCCGGTAGCCGTAGACCTGTGGTAATCGGTGGTAATCTGTGGTGTGAGCGATGCCCCAACAGCGGTTCACATCTGCCTAGTAGTCCTTAAAGTATCAGTCACATTATCCAGCGATGAGTAAACTATAGGCAACCAAAGCGTTTTTTGATAAAAATTGCGTGGTTGCCGGCCGGACTTACAAAGGCTCATCGATGCATTGCTAATCATAAAACGATGTTTCAGGGTAATTAGTCAATGTATATTACATCGCTCATACATTGGTGAATATCGTTCGCACGTCGCTCGACTAACACATCCTACAAGGATTAGCCGATGTATGGCCAAACAGCGTCACGTGTCGGTTGAATCTGAGGTGTCATCGGGGGTTGAGTTGTGGACAACAGACATCGGCCGATTATCAGTCGATCTTCGACTAAACATTGACCTTTAGTCAACCGACGTATGAACGATGTTCACCAATGTATGAGCGTTGCAATATACACCGGCTGATTACCCCGTCACATCGTTTTATGATTAGCAATGCATCGCTAGGCCTTTGTAAGTCCGGCCGGCAACCAAGCCATTTTGATCAAAAACGCATTGGTTGTCCTTCGTATACTCTATCGCTGGATAATGTACCTGATACTTTAAGGACTACTAGGGCCGATGTGGACCGATGCTAGGGTATCGCTCACACCACGGATTACCACCGATTACCGCCAATCTACGGCCGCCGGACGGGACATGTGACTAAGGCATAATTTATATAATTCTTTGCTCATCGCTAGTAGTAATACACAAGTATAAATGTATATAAACATTATTTACAATACACACAATATTTTCTAAGAATTTTTATTTTAGATTAAAGAAAATAAGAAAAAGCTTTTTCGTTACGTCTTCCTTTTCATCCCCCGATATTAAAAGCAATGAAGGAGAATGAAAATTTACATACTCCATAATTACTGGTTAATTTGTGGAGTGTCAAGTAAATCGCTGATTTAACACAATTTATTCAGATATTCTTTTAAAATACTTCCAAGCTTAATATGTCTGTGGTGGCATCTCGTTAATTTATTACAGGAGGTAATTATAACTAAGGTCTTCAAAACTTGAACCTCAAAGAACTTAAATTTGGGAAATGTTTGTGTATATTTAAAAACAATACAACATTCATTTTCTATGTATTTACTGTGTAAAATGTATTTCATCCGAGTAACCGAATAGCAGTTTTACATACCGATTATCGCATCGTTCAACGATTAACCGGTTAACAGGATACTCGTTGACAACACTAGTTATAATCTTGTTTTATTGAAAGAAGTGTTCACATTTTGTTAGAAAATAACAGAACTTTTATGTAACTTCATTGTTTACTAGAAGATTTTCCAAAAATATTGCGAGTATCGATGAACAAACATTGTTGGGGGGTTTACAAGAATGGCCCAATGCTTGTAGACCTTACAGGAAAAATAACTAGTTTTAATTGTAACGGGGACCGTTACAGATGTTCCCCAAACGCTCCCCAAATCCCTTTTTGTGCCATTTTCCTGTACGACATTTTTAAAATATGCTCATTATCAAAGAATTTCATATAAGAATTATTAAAGCTACAATGATATCAACTATATTTTATTTAACTCATTGCACGCGCACGCACGTGCATGCACATGCAAGATGATCACAACATGTTGTCTTAACCATAAACATTTCTTTGTGTCGTGAGAATCAATAAGACAAATCATAAAAAATATAAATGTTACCATTTTTCAAATATATTGGTCATTTTGCATATTGTGCGCGTGCACTTGCATGCATGCGTGTCCTTGCATTCCATTTTAAATGATAGTAGCATAATGTAGTAATCCATCATACTTATTCATATTCTAAATTTCATCCCGTTTTGTTGAGAAACAAGAAAGTTATAGGCATTTAAAGTTTCAGCCAATCAGATTGCAGCACATGTGCATGCGCATGCTTTTATGATAATTGTTATACATCATGCTGTAGATCTTCATTATGTATGACTATGTTCAAAATTTCAAAGGATTTTGTCAAAAAGCAAGACAGATATTGAGAATTTAGTTTCAGCCAATCAGAGCAAAGCGCACGTGCATGCACGTGAGTTCTTGCTATTTTGACCATGTCATTATGTCTATACTACTAATATATCCTCACATTGTGAGTTTCAAAGCATTTCATCAAAAAAAAAAATAGAAAAGTTGCGGCTATATCTATTATATTGGTCATTTCACGTGTTGCACGTGCGCGCTCTTGCAAGCACGTGCGCGCAAAATGACCTTTATTCCGCAAATCTACATAACATGTCTACTGACCCTAAAAAGGTTTTACCTACATCGGATGAACAGTTTACAAGATCACTCCCGGAAAAAAAAGTACCCAGGAAGAAGAAGAAGAAGAAAAATAATAATAACTAGATACGATCTCGTTGCGAGCAACGAGAGGTCTTCCGTCCGTTTTAAGAAAAGAAACCCACGTAAAATCGAGTTGAAAAGAGATTCAAAATTTTGGTCACAAGGAGGATTGAACCCATGTCGCCAACGTGAATGCGCTTTTTTTTTTTTTTACTTTTTTATCCCCAACGCGCTAACCATTAAGCTATTGGGAGTACTGCTCTAAACATACTTGTGTATACTTTGGCAACAGTTCACCTGTCTAAGAATTATAAAAAGCATTCATAATTTCGCGCCAAACGCCACGAGTAAATATTCGCGCCTTTTCTTTGGATCGATCTATTAAATAGGTATGATAGCTTCAACTAAATTTTAAAAATAAAACATTCTTAGCGCCTTTATTTTATTTCCACTTTAAGAAAGTATATGTAACACATTATACACATTACATATTGTATCTAGCCCAGTTACACTAAAGCAGTGAAACGCAAATTAAGTTTTAAGATTGACACTCAATTGCAACTTACTACTGTAACGTGTCAGACCTGAGCGGTCAGTAGGTCCGTGCTCGGATTACCGAGGTTTACTGGGGATATGATTGAATGCAATATTTACAGATAATAATATGACACCTGCCTGGTGTCTTTAAATCAAATGACCTAAGTGCTTTGAATACTTATATATCTTCAGTTAATACCGGCACCTGTCTGGTGCCATATGACAATTGCCTCACCATACAACTGACTATATAAGTCAACAGCCACCTGCCTGGTGCCTCTTGATTTAGCCTGGTGTCTTACTGCTTACCAAGTTGCCTATATAACTCTAGCCAAGTAGCTACAATGTACTTATACAGTATTTAACTTTGTGAGAGCTTCTCTGTCCTAATGACAAACCTATAGCTAACGTCACACAGCTATATTTTAACTAGTCACTGACTACGGCAACTTTGCACAATTCGATTTGATCGATACACTAATTGATTTCTGTACCAAAGTGAAGACACAAGCCAATTGGCTGTACTGCCCCCTTGTACCTTAACTTAATCAATGATCATAAGTTATCAGATATCATATTGATAAAATACTACAGACTGCCTTTCTTTTGGCAACACTATTATTATTTTCTAACAGAACATCATTTATCAATATTACTTGTATAATTCTTTTGTCAATTGACCAATTAATTACAATATTTACATTGATTATCTATAATAATATAAACAAGTAACGGGAGGTAACTCCTCCAACCATTTCACTACTACGTGAGAGTCGAAGTAGTTTTTTACATTTCATGTATCCTTATGAAGAATCGTTTAATCTAACGCTCAGCTGCCTCCATAAACCCCTACTCGCGAAATGGCGGAGTTGACAGAGAGAGCCGCCATCTTGGTCCCGCTTCAGATTTTCAAATGTTAATATCTAGAGTTCAGACAAATCAATATCAAAACAACTTATATAGTAGCATTTCGCTTCTCCTAACGACAGGAAGTACCGACGACGAACGAAGAGTCGCGTCCTGGATGGTATATATCACGATCTATAATCCTTGAAAGTTTCATGTTGATATCTTTTACCGTTTTTGAGTTTAATCGCGGACAAAATGTCATTTTAATTTCAGGAAATTGTCCGTAACTTGGCACCGGAAGCAAATTTCCAAAAAATCTCCCGGATATATAAAATTCATGTTACGACACATCATTTCTGAAAATTTCACGTCATTTCATCCAGTAGTCTTCGAGATATCGCGTGCACAAAATTAAAAAGTCAAAAAAATAATAAAAAGAATAATAATAAGAAACAGTAGAATCACTATAAGGTCTTCCGTGAAGACGGAAGACCTTAATAATAAGAAACAGAGTAAAAACAATATGTTCCCCAACTTCGTTTGGGGAACATAACTAGGTGTAAAATCGCTAATTGTCTTTTGAGGCACAGTGTTTTTGACATATTCCCGTCAAACCTAACTTAAGAATTGAAAGATAATAAACAATACATTATATTTTCTTGCTTCTTTCTCAAAATACTAAGAGCCAAAGTGACAAAATTTACATGTAATTTATATAATTGATATTACAATCTGCTAGCATGTCTCAGTTTACGCAACTGCCTTGTTACTTCATAAATGCGTATTTCAAAGAAAAGTTTATTTCAAACAAACCAAATGGAAATTTTTATCTTATCAAAATAACAATTTCCAATTTTCAATGATAATCAAACCTCCACATGAAAATCCATTGCCCTGATATCCTTTGTTACATGAACACTTATAGCTTCCAATTGTATTTTCGCACGTTGCATATCCAGAACAGTTATGGTATTTGGTACACTCATCGACATCTGTTAAAAAGGAAAGTAAAGTCATACAGTAAAAATTAAATCAAAAACATATATGATTCTCAAGGAGTGAACATACACCACACCTCTTGAAATCTAACTGAATGTGACCAATTTTTTGCAAAAGTTTGCTAAAGATGCAGCTTTAAAATGTCAACATTCTACTAGTATATAATTATCATAGCATCCATCATATTTATGAAAACAAGTATTTTATATAAATTTATATGCAAAGTATCATCATCCTTCAAAGGAAAGGCTGAAGCAAATATTCAGATGTTATCACTCTAATTTTCTTTAACACTTGATTTGAAGGTAAAACAACAAACATTCAAACAATTGTATCAACACAAAATCAGAAAACCTTCACAGTTGTATCCATCGCCGTCAAATCCACTGAGACAGTTACATCTGAAACTTCCGATCGTATTGGTGCAATTGGCATTGACTGAACAGTTGTCTGTATGATTGGCACATTCATTAATTTCTAAAATCATACGCGACAAGATATACAGTGTAATAAGAAACATCTTATTGAAAAGAAGTACATGGGTTTTGTGAGTCACCTGAACATGCTGAATATAGCGTAAGCTGCACCGTTCTTTATCAGCAGTTATTTCTCATATATAAACGTCGAACAATCTCTTCTGACCCTAACATATAATATCCCTCAAGAAACCGTTTAGATAAAGTTAAAGTTTTCATTTATGTGAAGTTGACGATAAAAATTGTAATTTTACGTCTTTTTAAAATAAAATATCAAAATATAAAATATATATAAAATAGATGTTTCAGACTTTCTGTTATTTCAAAATTACTGGCAAATACCAAGTTAATATATTAAAGGATGCAAATATTATTACTTGATAAATGCGTCAATATTTCAAATTGTCGGGGTTAAACCCGAAAGGTCATTTGAGCAACTCAGATGACCACATAAAGCCAAGAATTTATAAGCAAGAAAAAAAATAATCTGAATGTTACATTTCTTCTCCAATTTAATTTAAGTTTGCATATTAGATCAAACCTATGCAAACATATCCATTGCCGCTAAATCCATTGAAACATTCACAACCAAAACTACCAGTTGTATCGGTGCATGTTGCGTTTCCAGAACAGTTATCGGTATTCTCTTTACACTCATCGATATCTTCAAAAGATATAAAGAAAAAACCAAACATGTTTAATGTCGAATCAAGTAACTTAATGTACATGTATATAATAAATACGTTTCTTTGAATACATAAACTGTGATTTATCAATAAAATAATACGAAGAATTAATTGCTCTCGAATTGAACTGGATACTAAAACGCACTGTGACAATATGTGGAATTAACTCGATATCCTTCATCACAAAAGCATTTAAATCCTCCCGGAAAATTTGAGCAGTTATGACATTTAGCAGTACTGCATTCATCGATGTCTGAGCAATCCTTTCCGTTTGACAGTTTATAGCCATCCATGCAGCTACATGTATAATTTCCCTCTGTGTTTGTACAGTTATGTTGACAAAGTGATTTATCTCGACATTCGTCAGTATCTATGAATATAAGCAAAAAATGAAACAGTTGAAAAATAAAGTCTGTACTTTATATGATAATAATAAAGTAAATTACGTTTATTTATGAATAATTCAATTCTGGTTGTAACGATGTATTTGATTGGACAAAAAATTATTTTATATCGTATAAAATGGGTTGCCTACGTCACAATGACTTGCGTCAAAAACGTATCAATCCGCCTGACGTTACATTCAAATTTTGTACAAATTGAAGTCAATTTATTAGAACAGTCATCTTCATTTCTTACATCAAATGAACTAAAATTAAATTATAAGCAATAAATTTAATAGCTACCCATTTTATACGGTATAAACTGGGTTGGAACAGTTTACGCTTTTTTATAAACTGCCCCAACCCAGTTTATACCGTATAAAATGGGTAGCTATTAAATGCATTCCTTAAAAATAATGACTATTACCTTCACAAATGCCAGTCGAATTATCAAACCCTTGAGCACAAGTACATCGGTAGGAACCAGGGGTATTTAAACATATTTCATGAGGTCCTTTGCATGGATTGTGGTCACATTCATTGATGTCATGTTCACAGGTGTTTCCTTTCCACCCAGGTTTACATTGACAACCACTGATGTGGTCACAAGTACTGGCTCCTCTCCCACACTTACAAGGCATCTGACAGTTCTCGCCGTAGAAGAATTTACTGCATTCTGCAATATGAAAATTCCAAATAACATATGCAAATTGTTTATGATCATATTTTGAATCACATTCATTCTTTCAAGGTGTAAAAAGTAATAAACATACATGTATGAGTTAGATATCTAAAACGTGCTAAAAGTAGACATTGTCCTCTTGTTGAATGTTAACTATTTTCTATTTTTAATCTTCAAGCATGCATGAATACAAAGTGAATATTTATATATATTACTTGGGTTAGCTGGTTATTGATCTTATTAATTTGAAAATGATACAAAATTTCGTCTCTTTTCCTCGTAGTGTCACAATAATGTATAAAACAAGAACAGAGATCCAAGTTCTCAAATTTAAGTGATAATAATCAAAATGATTAAAAAAAATCAAATAGGGAATGTTGCAACATTACCTCTACATGATTTGCCATCATTTTGAAGCTTGAATCCAACAGCACATTGACATTCAAACGATCCATTTGTATTTGTACAATTGTGATCACAGGAGGAGTTCAAGGCACACTCATTAATGTCTATGAATAAATACCAAACATGTATTAATTTTGATTATTCGTAAAAGCTTTTCTGGAATTGTTTTATTTAGATCATTGTATTACAATATATATTCTTTTACAGAAATATTTCATAAAAGGCATTTTGAAACACATGAAATAAGGGGGGGGGGTTGTCATATGAAATAAAATGAAGTCCATATTTAATATAAAAGGATTATTATTATTATTATTATTATTATTGTTTGATGTTACCTATACAAGTTCTATTGTCCACATCAAGTTTATAACCATGTTCGCAGAAGCAGACTCCTTGGTTGTCGTGTTGTATTTTACAACCATAAGTACAGTTCAGTTCGGGGAAAAGAGAACACGAGTCTCCAACTAGTAAATTAAAAATATTTTGTTCATTAATTTTTTAGAAACATATTGTAAATAACACTTAATAATATTGAAATGCAAGTAGATTTAAATTAAATGAATTTTGCACTTTTATATCAATTCTCTGTTGCAATCATATATTTAGAAAATGTCATGGTTATTTTTACAAACTTTCATATCTACTAGAGCTTCTACTTTACATAATTTATATAATTCTTATAAAGAACTATATACTAATTATCAATAATGAAAACAAACCCTTTTCACATGTCATGCGATCATTTCCTAAGGTAAAACCAAAGTAGCAACCGCAATTGTAACCCCCATCTACGTTGTTACAGATTTGGCTGCATCTACGGCCATTTTTACATTCGTCTATATCTTTTTTTAGAAGAAAAAAGGCATACTTCAATAAATAATCATTTTCAAAAAGAATATCAGTTGGTCAGTCAATTCTCACTCCTGAATCCTTTATAACATGAACAGGTATGCGTTATCAAAGATTACAATTTTCACTCAGTCGAAAAGTAATTATTTTGTACCTTCATATGCATCGATCAATCGCATCGCAATAAAATTTACTCTATCTGTAATTTTACAATTACTGGTATTCACTTGTAACAAGATAAGAAAAATGAATCGAATATAACATATTATATGAACAGTAAGTGGTAAAAGAATGAAAACATAATGGGAAAAATCGCTAAATACGAATTATATTAAATATCATTTAGTGTACCCTAATTGTACATCTACTTTTCAATCTGTGTTTAAACACAGACTGAAAAAGGCGAAGTACAATTAAATCAACAGTTTCGATCAAATCCTTATAGTTTTTTTATTCTAATAAAAGAAGGATTTTGGGAGAACACCAACTATTTGCATGCTCTTTATAAACGATAAATTCTAAGACTAGATAACAAAAAGCAGTCAAGCTCAAAGGGCTACTCAATGAAGGATATGGAGATAACAAACATTATCAAATATCAAAGTCCATAAAACAATACAAAATAGGAGCAGAGCAAAGAGGGACCTCCAAAACATTAGAGGTGGGATCCTGTGCCGTGAAGGAGTGAACAGCCCTGTTGACCGGTCACACCCGCCGTGTACTCCTTGTCATGATCGGGAAATAAAGGAAAAACCAGTCATCAATTCAATGTATAAATTAACTTACAATCATGTAGAAAAACGTCAGTCAGCGTTTAACGCAATAATAAATTGTATTTGGTAATAAGGTAATTGTATCGACCATAAAACCTACAAAATGATTACTTTAAACGTGACTGCAGATATTCTTATTTCACCAACTTGTTTGTCAATAATGTACCACGTTAAAGAAATAGTTCATACGTAGAGCATGTTCTTGGATGAAGATATATTGCTACATAAGTAAGGGAAGTTGACGATAGAAAAGTTAACGTCATCACGTTTAACATAGAGCTTGGTTGTTAGATTACAATTAACATCTTTTTAAAATAAAATACCCAAGTATGAAACAGAAGTGTCGGACTCTGTGGTATCTTTTATCTCAAGCTCACCAGGACATATCGTTTCCATACACATTTTGCCCTCTGATTTTCAAAAATGAAACTGGTGTAAAAGTTGATAACTCATGCTTTTTAAATAATTGAAAATCAATGCAGAAAAATAATACAAGTCATTTTTCTCACATGTGTTTTTAAATGCTAATTATGACGTCATAAACATGTGCATTTTCCCGTATTTTCTTACAAAGTTGCAGAAGACACCAATTTTCAATGGGATTTTCTTTCAGATAACATTGTCCACAAAGATCTTGAGATATTTGATTTGAATATTGAATTTTGCACAAAATATCAAAAAATCAATGTGAGCGACGGCTGTGGACACTGTTTTCTAAAGGAAAATCACCATTGAAATGTATCATTTTGAGATTTTTTCTGTTGAAAATAGAGAAATGCTTCACATTAATGACGTCATATTTGCAGAATGGTAAACCTTCATGCCATATTCTTTCCTGATTTATCAGAGTCATTTATTTAACTAATATTTAAGCCAGTTTCAAAACTTTTTTGATATCATTACATTTTTAGGGTGCACTAAAGCTGAAACCGTACCTTCTTCTTTCTCTAGGAATGAAATTATCATTGATAATTGACAATACGTCCTCGATATATCTAAATGTCGAGTTGAAGTCCATAGCAAGTGTTTTCTTCTTTTCACGCATAATATTATGCACAAATTCTGCTTCATAAAAATAGGTCTGCTAATAACGGAGCGCAGTGGTACCCATTGGAATCCAAATAGATTGTTGGAAGACTTGGTCTCCAAAAGCGACTTAGATATCGTCAATCAGAAGCTTAATTTTTTTTCGATGTCAACTTCAGAGTACTTGTGTATGTAATCAGAAAGTATGTGTAATTTAAGGAATAACTGTCTTATTTTTCAATTGCATAATGTGATCAATCGATTTGCCTGCGTGATAATTTTATACATAAACGCATTCGACAATCGCGTTTATGCAAATTATCACGCAAAAACCAATGGATTGATCATCGCCATGAAAATGGAAAATCTGACAGCTTTTCCTCATACTGTAGATCACTTAATTTTCGCGACACTTTATTTTCGCGAGATAGTCATTGACTCTTTATAAGCGAGACATAATTTTCACGAATTGTTAATATTTCTCTATATTATCTTAAGGAATACAATTATACGCGAGAATGAAATTTTCGCGTGTTCATTGTCTCGCGTAATTACGCGAAAATAAAGTTCTCGCGAATAAAAAGTGATTTACAGTATTTACATGGTATTGATTTCGCCAATCCATGTGCTAGAAGCCCCGCTTCTTGTCTCTATTTGTCCCGGCCTGCACGTGGTTTTTAACCGCGCCAATCGATGAACAGTACATTGATGCAGAAATAAAGTACATTTACTGTATGTAATTTGATCACCTACAAAGACATTGGAAATGTATATATAACAAAAACTTTTTGCAGATGACCAATAACCAGGTAAGTAATTTTACGAGTTCCATTTTAGAATAAAAGAAATGAAGAACTGGATTGTCGGCGGATTTTCTGTTGTTTTCCGATCACGACATCTAGCACATGATCCCACCTCTGATGTTCTAGAGATTAGTTACTGTATTTGATCTGCTCCAAGGTTTGATGGACTTCTTAGATTAAATACTGTACCCAATCTCCATATATTTGATCAACTTGTATGTCAATAAAAAAATCGTCTTAGAAATTGCTCATACTTGGAGCATATTCTTACGTATCCAATCATCAGATACGCATACACCTCGATGAAGTTGAGACATGTTAGGGTACATATATATTGATTCATGCGTAAGGTAAATTGGAGATTGAAAAGTGTGTCATCATGTTTACCAATACTTTTACAACATTTGTTCGCAGATATAATAATCAAAAGACAATTTCTTTCATATTTTATTATTCAAGATATATCTTTTGAATATCAAGTATTATATCGTGATGCTAAATTTGATTTACTGTATTTCAGCTTTTGTGGAAAAATTTTAATCGTCAAAGTTGCACGCATCATAATCACTGCTGAATACAAGACATTCTGATAATATTTTGATTAGTCTGTGGTGTCACTAATATAATTTCATCTGATTTTGCATATAAAGAAACTTTTGTGTAGATTGGCATTGAAACATATATCGAACGTACTGAAACTCCGTGTCCGCCCAAAATATTATTAGCATACCTTTGAGAAAGCAGAACGGCACATTTTAAACCCGCTACAAAGTTCAGCAATAAATTACAATGTATATGAAATACAGGGGTTTCTTTATACATCTGATTACAGATACTGCATTTATGTATTCTAATGTACTGTTTTATTCCAATCACTTACATGTACTTTAATACCAACTCAATGGTTCAATTTGACGAAATTTAATTTCAACTATTCAGGAATGCTCGAATAAACAAGAAGTTCGTGAGCCAACGCTCACTAGTAATGTCCCACTCTGATTTGAATATACATGTATTCAGATAGAAAAGGAGATGAAGAAAAGTGACATCAGATTCGTTAAAAAATGAATCACGCTATATCGCATGATGTTTAAACGAAGAGTATACTGAAATAATACCAATATGCAATCAATAGCTGCTGCAAATATTCAACGAACATTTCTTACATGAAACATATGGAGATAACGAACAGTATTCAAGATCAAGGGTCCATAAATCAATGAAACAAAAATAGGAGCAGAGCAAACACAGATCTCCAAAACATCAGGGGTGGATTCAGGTGTCATGGAGGATTAAGCATCCTCTGCCTACCGGTCACAACGTGTGCTTCTTGTCATGCTCGGAAAATAACAGGAATATTCGTCGTCAATCCAGTGTATAAATAATGGATTCACAACTAGTATGAAAAACGCCGTCAGCATTTAACTCAATAAGAAATTGTATTTGCTGCCAAGGTGATTGTATCAGCCATAGAAGTGAAAATATTCTTGTTTCATCATCTTGTTTATCAATAATTTACCTTGTTTTGGAAATTGTTCATACGTAGAGCAAGTTCTTGCGTATCGAATCAACTGAGATACATTAACCCCGTATTCATATTTCATATGAAATTTTATATCTCAATGTAATATTTGATTCCTTATTGTGCCTCTTTTACCCCGGGGTCATGATATATTAAATATAAATCTACACAAGGATACTTCCACAGGTCTAGTGGTTCTTGAGGAGCAAATTTTTGGTTATTTTTATTTTAAATCAATGTTTAATTTGAATTTCATATTATGACTCAGCCCCACCGTTTGAGGTCAAGATGTGAAAACCTAAGATAATCTAGCTACGTTGCCCCAGGATGATTTCACATAAGATTGATCTTTTCTAGCCCAGTGGTTCTTGAAACTGGTAAATATTTATTCTATTTATTTTAATAAATATTTGGATTCGCTATTTTGGCCCCGCCCCGCCCGGGAGGGGAGGAGTTGGGGTCATGATCTGTACAATTTAAAATCTGAACTATTCTAAGGCACATCCATTCAAGTTTCAGCCCTGTGGGTCTTGATAACCTTTAAAAAATATTTCTTTTATATTTCAATGTAAAACTTTGTTTCCCTATTGTAAGACCCCCCCCCTCCGAAGGGTCATGATTTGAACATTTAAAATCTACCCTAACAAAGGATGCTTCCACATACTTTTCAGCTTTTCTGGCCCAATAGTTTTTTTAAGAAGATTTTTAATGACCGAACACTATTCTTTTTTTTATTATCCCCAATGTAAGGGGGCCGGTTTTCATTTTAGAAACTCTTCTTCACTCAGTGATGCTTTGTAACAATTTTGGTCCAGCGGTTCTCGAGAACACGTTGAAAATGTGATAAATTTACAGACGGACGGACAGACAGCTAGACAGACGCTGCACAAGGAGTGATCAGAAAAGCGCACTTGAGCTTTCAACTTAGGTGAGCTAAAACAGGTAGAAACGTTTACTTCGATCTGCAGTCGAAACTTCTAAGTTAATTATGTCGATCTTTCAAAGACCTTAAAAACTGAACCCCTGTTTAACGGCGGGCGTTGGCACGATTAAGATCCCCAATATTCATTAGCTATGAGTGTCGAGTAAAGGTCATAATTTGAAGCCCTTCACATGTATATGGTTACGTGTACGAGTTTAAAATTGTCTAATGGGACATCAAACAATATACAGTCATTCAGTCAATGTTATAAAGTCCGTTAATATATGGCTTTACCACATGACTTGTTGTCCCAATCTTGAAACCTGCTTTACAGTTCTTAGAAAACGCCTTTATTATAAAGTTTTAAAATGATATAAGACATATTCGAATTCAAAACGTTTCAGGATTTCACTTAAAAGGCAAATCTGCAAACAATGTTTACCTTTGCATTCACCGTTTTTATTTTTTTCGTATCCAATTTGGCACTCGCATGTGTAATTCCCATAGACATTTTGGCAGACTGTTGTTGATTGTGGGCAATCATTCAGCGATTCGTCAACGCACTCATCAATATCTTAAAATAAAAAGTACTTGATGTAAATATATATCAATCTTTCTTTTTAGAACAGAATGAAGTGTATTTTCTGGTTTAATGTTTACAATCGTTTTTGATTAATGTCCAATACCTGTGCATGCATCACCCTGAAGTTGAAATCCATCCTGACAGACACATTTATACGAGCCCTGTAGATTTTGACAGATCTTACTCAAACCACATACATGTGGAGTTGTAAAACATTCGTCAATATCTTCATTACAATCGCTGCCTCTCCAGCCTTCATTACAAATGCATCCCCTGACTGGATCATATCTGTTCCCACCCTGACCACAGCTGTAAATCTGGCTGCAGTTTTCGCCATAATTTGGTATAGTGCACTCTGTAGAACAAAAAACTCTTTAAAATTTTCAAATTTTACACATTCATACGGTGGCTGGTATTGGACATGGTATGAGAATTTGTTTTATTAATTCGTGGCCACGAAATAAAAATTCGTGGGAACGAAATAAAATTCGTGGCCACGAAATAAAAATTCGTGGGAACGAAATAAAATTCGTGGCCACGAAATAAAAATTCGTGGCCACAAAATAAAATTCGTGGCCACGAAATTAAATTCGTGGCCACAAAATAAAATTCGTGGGAACGAAATAAAAATTCGTGGGAACGAAATAAAATTCGTGGCCAGGAAATAAAAATTCGTGGGAACGAAATAAAATTCGTGGCCACGAAATAAAATTCGTGGGAACGAAATAAATTTCGTGGCCACGAAATAAAAATCCGTGGCGACGAAATAAAAGATAAAGAATCTAGTGTATTGACAGATCGGGTTCGTACATGTAATTTAGATGTGTCCATAGATGCGCGCGCGGATCTGCAGACAAAAAGCTGAGAATACATGTTATTTACAACAGTTAAGATTATGTCCAGTGCATTTTTATTTATTGCTAGATGTTTCAATTAATAGAATGTACTTGTAAGGTTTGTTTAGTCAAACACTCATTGTTTATTTATTTAACAATTAGTGGCAGAATAGGCCCCTATTATCGGGAAAGTGACATCTTAAAAATTAGAGCAATATTCATATATTGTCATGATTGTTTTCACATAAAATTCAACTGTTTAGTACAAATGAAAGTGTGTTTACTTCAATAAAGGTACATGTAATTGTCAAGGCATTGCTTGACATACAAGAGAAGAAGCTAAATATGACATTATATAGCAGAAAATTTATTTCGTTCCCACGAATTTTATTTCGTTCCCACGAATTTTATTTCGTGGCCACGAATTTTTATTTCGTGGGCACGAAATTTATTTCGTTCCCACGAAATTTATTTCGTGGCCACGAATTTTATTTCGTTCCCACGAATTTTATTTCGTGGCCACGAATTTTATTTCGTTCCCACGAATTTTATTTCGTTCCCACGAATTTTTATTTCGTGGCCACGAATTAATAAAACAAATTCTCATACCATGACCTATACCAGCCACCGTACATTCATAACTTTCTATTTGAAATAAACTGATCGGCTAATGAATCCAGCATTGATAAAAATATATAATACGCTTAGACATATTTTGTTATATACTAGTCAACTGGTCTCATATTTAATAAATTCAAATTGTCTTCAACAAAGCTTTTTTTGTAAAATGTTTACAAATTCACTCATTGTTACAAATTAAATTAATCAAAAGATGTTCATGAAACACCAATGCCCCCTCAAATAATTGTATTATTTTAAGTCCAAGAGGCTTAGTCTTGTCAAAAATGGCTCGATCGTCCCAAAACCAAAACTTGACCCAGAAAGCCTGATTAAAAATCTTAATACCACATATCATTTCAGCATGTGCAATCTCAATGAAGTAAATGAACGGAAACTGTACATTAATTAATTTGTTAAAGTCCACGGGAAATAATTGATCTTATTATATAGCTAATAAAAAGTCTCTAATTGAAAACTACCAAAAATCTAGAGAATTTAAGCGTTCAATATCTTGACGTTTTATTGAACGCTGTGTTTGTATAACGTATACGAGTATGCCTGAAACATTCCGAATACGAGCGTTCAATATTGAACGCCCCGTTATAAGCAAAAAAATTGTCTGGTAAAATTACCAGAGTTAAATGAAAGAAAGGAAGCGGCATCTAGGTAAGATGAAATTATTTATTTAAAATTTAGTACGTATAAGACCCATTAAAACCTACAAAAAGCAAATCATAACGCTCGGTATGGTCCTCGGAATGATGCGGTTTTGAACACTTACAGGACAGTCGTTAATTTGAATATCGATACTAAAAAATCATTAATTTGAGTTTTTTAGTTGAAATAATTATTTTAAATCATGAGGATATGTTTTAGCTATATAATAGAGGAGTTATTAAACTTATATTGGTGAATATTGGCACTCCTTGGCTGTACAAATGCACGAGCTTGCGAGTGCATTTGTACAGCCAACTTGTGCCAATATTCACCAATATAAGTTCAATAACCCTAAAGTATCCGAATCTGAACTTATATATATATTCTTAAGGATGGCGTTTACTTAAGGAATCACTGTCTAGTTAGTATAGTATGCTAGGGCATCAACAATAGTGGGAAACATGGAATAATATGCATAACGGAAGAAGCCCGTTATGCATAAATTATCCCATGTTTCCCACTATTGTTGATGTCCCTGGCATACTATACTAATTAGACAGTGATTTCTTTTATTTCCATTTCATTGTGAAATAAAATTGTAGATATAGACTTTATAAATGCAGATTTAGATTTAAATTACACGAGGACTCCCATTCCAATTTCAATAGTCCTCGCTCACTGAAGTAAAACACAATGGCAGCCGCACGAGATTTTCATGCGTATTTGTCCTCCTAAGCGTCAGACTCAGAGACAGATGCGCACGAGATTTGCATGCATATTTGGCCTCCTTAGCTCCTGACCTATTGACCTGCCTAATTTACATTCCGGTAGAATTATCAAGAAATTAACTCCGCTATTGTTCAAAGAGTTATCATAGAGAGAAAAAATAGAAATGGAAATATTCATGTTTCAGGTAACAGAAAGGACATTTTATATAGTATAATATGTTAAATCAAAAAATGTTCAATAAATACCGAAACATTTAAATTCAACTTAGCTATGGTAAACAAAAACAGCATATCACTATCTCTGTAAACATAAGGAAGATATACATTGTACTCATAGATTTGGTAAATTATATAATATAATAGATATGAACTCACTGCACGGGCAATATGCATTATAATGACCCAGGATTGCAGATATTAACCTCAGGCACATGTAGAATATTGACCTAGGATTAGCGCCCTCGGTCTATATACTCCATCAGTATTTGTATAATATACATATTTGTATACTATTTTTCAAAATTATAAAATATGATGAGTTATCCTGTATTGTACAATTTATAAGAGAAACACAAAATTTTATAGTCTTTTTTTAAATGGGGCATCTTAAAATATCAAAATTTATTAAATTTCTCTATTTATTTAGTACCGCAAAATATGACAAATACAATGGATGTACACATAAAATAATATATTTGATCAAAAGGTTCTCAATTTTTTCTGTTTAAAATTTGAATAGGCTATACAATTTTTTGAAAATTTAATATTTTTTAAAGATTTTTATGACCCCTTCTTAAAAGCTTCAGTTTATCAAAAACAGTGAAAAACAGACTTTAGTGAATTCAATATTCATATCAGTTGAAAAATCGTTTTGGAAATCAGTTTTATAAATCGAAATTCATTTTTCAACCTGTTAATATTTCTTATCTTTATAAAGTTTTAATATATTTATTTGAAAAAATTTTTAAAAAAGAAATAACGCTTCATTTTACTACATATGATGCGCGAAATATTGCACAAGGGAAAAACTAAGTTGGTCACCTTAAGAGCCCAAAGGTAAATTATACAAACGGAAACGGCTTTACAGGGAAGTGTCGGATTACCTTCTCACCTTTAGATTAGAAGAGTAAAACACTGTGGTATAAGGAAATGAACATCAACTTTACAAGAATGGTATAATTTCCAAAATCCAATACGATTGCTCAAAATCTTTTATTGAGCATTTTTATTTCTTTAAAATAAAAATTAGTCATGAAAATTAACCTGTACATGACGTTTTGTCTTCATTTAAATGGAATCCGGGTTTACAGGCACACTCAAATGAACCTTCTGTGTTGATGCACTTCTGTTCACATGTTGGGGTGTTATCACATTCATCAATATCTAAAACATAAGCAATATTCAATCATTTTAAATATTTTTTTTAAAAAGCATTATGTTTACGTTTCTTTTCGTGAAAAAAATGCACTAAACAACTTAGTATTTACATAAGACAGAAACGAAGCTCAATCGGTTGAGCACTGTGCTTACAAGCCGGAGACCCTAGGTTCAATCCCTAGCAGAGGCAGTTACATGTCTCTGTTACCTTTGGCGCCAACATTTTGGATGAGAGTGATTGCTCCAAAAACTTCGCCCAACTGGTATTGTCACTCCAAAAAAGAGTTAGGACATCTCATTCTCAATATAAGTGAAAAATTCTTGACGGGATGTTTAACAAAATAAAAACCAATCAATCTGATAAGAAGACAATTAAAATTTAAAAAAAAAAATATAATGAAACCAAATGAAACTTGAGCTTAGATGTTTACTAAATAATTGTTCCATTTCATTTATCTTCATTTTATACCTAATTTTGGATTAAGGCACACTTTTGTTAATTTTATTTCTTACCTGTGCAGTTGTTACCATTTTCTTCAAGCCGATATCCATTCATACAAATGCATTGAAAATTGCCGTTTTCAGAAATGCATGCGTATTCACACTTTTTCGAAGTGTTTTTACAAGGATCAGTTTCTACAACAGAAATAAAAGTTTTAAAGAAAAGGAGCTTTTAAATGTTGTTAAATACAATATACGACGGGTGATCAAAAAGTTCACGAACTCATTGAATGACTTCCAAAAAAATATGATATAGGTTTTCAGAGTGATAATTATTAAAACTAGTCCTCTCCGATTTTATGCGCATCTGCAACCGTTATGCCCATGCGCGGATCACGTGATATAGGCGGTCACGTGTCATGCTCCTTGGCATTATGTCACAAACGCTTAAAGCTTTTTCGACTCAAATTAATTTTTCCAACCATGCAAGGTATATTCAACAACAAAAACATTCAAATCTTGGCAATAGTTTTATGCACTTTTGCAGAATGAACATGGTGTTCATAAAAACTCAAGTTTGGAGCGTCGCTTTTTTAATGTGGATAAAGTGTGGGTATCTCTTTTTATCATATCTGATATGTTTGATATTTAAAGAGTTAAATAGTTATATTCTTGTTAAGATATTCAGTTATTTTTTATCTGTGAGATGGCGATCTCTCTTATAAAATTGCTTAGAAAAAGACACATATCTTCTCCAGCTTGCTTTAACTGGACAACAGAACAGCTATCATTTTTAAATATCTCCCTTCCTTCATTTAAACAATCAATTTCATTAATTACAATACTTCCGGCAATCCGGCAAGTCTTCTGTTTTCATAAACCGTGAATAAATTATATTAAGCGTCTGCAAAGGGATTTTAAAGATATACAAGTACGTTTGAGTTAAGAGCCGTTCGTTTCTCGAATACGATTGAGTCAATCACATTTTATCAGAAATGATCTACATAAAAACGTCATTTAAACATTCTGATTTCACAAACACGGAGAAAAACATTCCATTACATATGCTATTTATAGAACATGTGTATGACTCCAGGTATGCCAAATTTCATTCTGGTCTGAATTGTGGTTTTGTAAATATAGAGATAGTTAGCAAACTTTTTGATCATCTCTCGTATACATGTATGTATACCCATTTCCGTACTGGCCGGGGGTTGAACTCTAAGGAATCTGTCTCCTAGCGATTCAGGAACTAGGAGACAGATTCCCTAGGTAGACTTAATTCAAATATTTAATTTTTCTTCAAAACATAACTCAATTCCAATGTGCTTAAGGTTAAACATCTCTTATGAGAAAATCTCTGAAGAAATTTATATTTCTGATCTGCCTCAAAATTAATGTTTCAAAACATCAGCACATATACGAGCTTGCCTCAGATATGTTAGTTTATGTAAGTGACCCTATATATTAATTTGATCACTCCGGAGAAATTAAGTCCAAATAGAATCATAAATGTAATTCTTTTTGGATAATCATAGTCCATTTGGGTAATGTCTGATATACATAACTCAACTTCCTTCCTAGAAAATTCGAAAAACGTGTAAAGTCACAAATTTGCTGTAGGAAAAATCGCTCTTGGTATTATTATGTTTCAAACTATTATGATTATAAACAACTCAAACAAAAAGTAACAAGGAACAATAGCTAGAAATTAAGGTTCAGACTTTCTAAATTCCATATTCTTAAGTTTATTTTACTTGACAACTTTACCAAATATTATGCAATGCTTATCTTATATCTATAAACGGATAGAAAACTGACTGATGGGCGTTGGAATAGACAGACAGACAGATGGAGATTAGATTTGCAGTTTCAGGGTTTACAAGCAGAATAATAGTATCTGATCTGTCCAAAATTAAAATAAAATTAAAACTACAATCAAATATTATAGGAACGACATATTTAACAGAAATAATACATTTGTTATTAAGGGATTTTTTTTTCATAAAAAAATCAGAAATCGATTTACTTGTACTCACTAAATTAACTAAAATTAATTCATGAATACGTGGGTAAAAACTTATTTAATTCAATTATGGACAACGATTTAGTTAACATGATCTGATTATTGAAATTAAAGGATCGTGCAGAAAAAATACAATGTCTTTCTTATACATGTGTGGCTTAAATGCGTACCAAAAGGTTTAACTTCACGGAATATCAATTAAAGAAGAGATGTTTGCATATATATTACCTGTTTTATCACATTTTTTTCCATCTATGTTCAAGTCATAGCCTGCATGGCAACTACAGTTGAATGATCCTTTAGTATTTGTACATTTTTGCTCACATTTTGCAAGTCCTTCCTGACACTCATTCACGTCTTTGAAAATAGAAATTGACAGTGATGAATATATGATCATTATGGTACTTAAGTAAGAAGTAAGAGGATATCACGATAGAAAAAAATATGTAAACATGAGAGACTTGGAAATCGGAAATTCGAAATTTCCTTTTGTGATCATTTACGCTGTGTGACAACAATTTTCCCTCCATCGTCTGATCAGATAACGCATTAGTGTGAAAAAATTAATCTCCTATACTTGCAATCTTTTTGATGAATTCTATTTTTTTTTTATAATTTAAAGTCATTTGTATTGTTATGAGTTCTGCAGTTTTCACTGAAATATTAATTTTAAAAAGTTTTCGGTAAAATATGATGATTTAAGCAATCAAATTTAAACAAAGTGTGCACCTTGTTAACTGCATGATTGATGAATGAATAAACTGTATTATTTCTACATTATGATTTAATATTAGGTCTATACGTATTAAACAATACCAATGCAAGCGTTATTCGATTTCCTGTAGCCTGAAACACAATTACAGATAAATCCCCCTTCTGTATTCTCACAGGTCTCTGTTGTAGGATCGCAAACCTCTTTACTAGATACACATTCATCAATATCTGTAAAATATAAATCATTGAGGCGAATTACCAAATAATCTACTCTTAGTCATATACTTTCATGGGAATAAAATCACATGGAATATAAGCACACTTCATTGATATTTGATTGAGTATGGTAGAAAATGTTTATGTTTATACATCATTTCTGATAGTAAAAACTTTAAGAAACCACTTATTTCCACCACAGGCACTTTTGGTATGGACCCCCCCCCCCCTTTCCATTTTTTTCTTTTTATATCTGGGGTTGAGTCACCTTTTTCCTATTTTTCTATTCTAATATGCACTATATGTTATCAATAATTAACTCTCTTGTCTCTGTAAGCTGTTTTTAAATATATCGTTTTCGACTGATACATAATAAGAGAGGCTTATTTCAAGGATGTGCAATTGAAATTAACGCTTTCCATTCATCGAAAGTATCAGAATAAAACATCTAAGTCTAGCTGTGTAAACCCATAAGACCAAGGTGTGAATAAGTATAGTGGTGTTTTGTTTCATTCATTTGGGTTAGTCAAGTCTTATTTCTTTTTTAACAAAAGATTCCTTTTAACACCCCCATCCCCTAATGGTTTATTTGAAATTCAGATTTTAATCTTAGAAACAATTCCAGTACTATTTGCTCCGGATTAGGGAAGAAGAAATGAGTTCCATCCAAAATTTAATTTAATTTACTTAAAAATATGTTCAAATAGGTTAAAAAAAATAGTCACCTCGACATTTATTGTCAATTTCATTAAATCCCGTTGGACACTCTGAACAGTTATATCCGCGTTGTAGTCTGACTTCTTCTGATGGAGTTAGATCAGTACAGTTTCTACCATGAGGACACGGGCTTTGAAGACATGCATCAGAGTCATCTGCACAGGTTTCTCCTATTAAAAATATTTATATATATTCAGTGTAATTGATTTATGTACAAGTTGAAAAAGTCAATTGTACACATTGTATATCGCCCTACAAAGTTTCTTTTTATTATTATTATTATTATTATTATTATTCCTCCCAAATTTTGTGAGCGCGATTACTCAGAGATGGCTGGATAGATTTTCACAATTTTTCTCATGTAAGTAGGTTGATATATGAAGTTTATATAAAATTCCGTTTTTTGAAAAATTCACTTGCGGTCCGAAGTTATGGCCGATTTTCGAATTTTAAAATGGACTTTTGTCCGGCAGTTTTCTAGGAAACGGTTTGAGGTAAAGATATGAAATTTACAGGAGTATTAGATCATGATATTCTATTTGTTTTGAAGTTGTTTTCGTGTGTTTCCAGTACTTCCTGTCCGAACCGGAAGTAAATTTGTTTTTGGTCAATTTTTGATTTTTTTGTTTTTAGATATTTTTTCAAGATATTCTTATGTAAAACAGATATTTTTCTACAAATGCTAAATATATAATTTGTTTTTTAATCAGATTCCGCATTTTGTATATTTTCGGTACCGAAATTTTCTCTATTTACGTAGTATTTATAAGGTGGGCAAAGAAAGATAACTCTGACCTGTGAATGAGAATAGAACTTTCGAGATAAAGGCGGAAATAGTATTGATGACGTTAGAGACATATATATGCTCTCCAGATCAACATATTTACACATTCAATATTCTCTCTTTTGCATATTCACCCATTCTCAATATAAGGGCTCAAATAATGTCGCCTCGTTTTCATTTAGAAGACATACCACTGATGTAATTTTTAAATCAACATTATAAATAGTCATATAACAATGAATAAGAATTCATATAATTATCGATCCTAAAGGGTATTTAAGGAGTTCCAAATTCAAATATAGTAGCCTATTTGAAATGTACGTTACTGTCGCCGAGGCAAATATTATGCTGAATACCCTCTGTGTAATATATAGTTTTGATTCTCAAGTAAAAAATTTCTGATAAGTTAAACCCTGTATCATATATATTTCTTTTCATAACATTAAATACATTTTCTTTGTGATAATAAATAATTTTTATTGTGCAATGTCACTGTCGCTTAATTCTATTTCAACCACATTACAAGCAAACACAAAGATTATACACCTGATAGTTTTGTTCTCCTTTATTTATTGATGGGCTAAATTTGAAATTTGAGAGGATGAATAACTCCTACTTAGATAATGTAACATGAAATTGAACAATTTGAGCAACTTTTATAAATATGTTTACGGAATGAAAGACATTTTCAATCGTAGAGATAAGAAAGAAATGTACGTTACCTATATTCTTCCATTAAGAATATATATTAAGTAGAAAATATGAGACGACTCTGAATAAGCAACCCCTTGTATCCTGTAAACTGGCAAAGACGTTTTGCTTAACACAATTAAAAATTATTTTTTACATGAAAAGTGATCATTTTAAATGTACGTTACTGAAATGTACGTTACCATGAAATTCGAATTAAGTGAATCTCGCACGAATTATCATGTATTCTCATACTTTCACACACTCGAATGTGTACACAAAGGAAAGTTTCAAAGGTTGGAGGTCGGCTAAATCCAAAAATTAATGAAAAGAAACGTTTCTGCTGAGGAAAACAAAATATATTAAGGTCAATTATATGTAATATAATTTTGATACCTGGTATATATTTCTGAATACGAAACCTGTATGATGCATTTCTTATGATATGCAAGTTCAAATAGTATCAATATACTGCGTGTCTAACGTACGCTTGTGGAAGAGAATTGATTTTTATATTTGAAATGTACGTTACGTATGGTAACGTACATTTTGCGCATTTCTAACTGACATTTCTTTTTATTTAGTCAATGATTTGCGTTTACACGAGCGAAACAAAATTAACGTTACAATCCATTTGACAACTGACCACATAAATCCATCTAAATGTACCCCGAAATCCTCGTAAATGAGGTAGATTATTACCACATGCTAGAAAATTTATTTCGAAGTGTCTTAAATTCATCTTTAGCAACCTTTTTGCAGTTTGTTTACTTTTAATTTGCGCCTTTTCGTCAATATTAATTTAATTGTTGTTGATAATTTAAAACAAGGTATGCATAGGCTTATAATTGGTAAAAAAAAACAAAACAAAACAAAAAAAAAATAGAAAAGAAAAAGAAACAAAACAAATAAACCCAGAACACAAGACGGCCACGTACATTTCTAATACTGAAAGGCACACACTACTCAGTTTTGTTTTAATCATTGCATTTTGGGTTATATTGTTCCAGATCTGCTGAAAAGTACGTATGTTTGTGTTTTGACAAACGATGTTGCAACATACTAAATGAAATTGTTATCTAGACTGTGGATGGATATATTCGAAATAGATTTATGTTAAGTTTCAATGGCCAAACACAAGCATTTGTTAGATCATAGCAAACTACGTCTGATTCTTATTTTTTTGTCTGTACCCTTGCACACAGGTAGAAGTAACTAGGCTACGACCGGTGTCAATTTCAGCGAAACAGCACAAAAGAATGGTAATGAACTGAGATGGAGGGGACTCCCCAATAATATGTGAAATGAACGTTACCGAAGTGACGTGACATTCCTGTAGTTGATGACAAATAACCACGTTTGTTACATTATGATTTCTTATATTACTGCGTTAAAACGCTTCATTGAAATGATTTTTATGTCAATAATTGCTTTTTTTCAATAATCTTTCTTATTACTAATTTACATATTATTACAAGCTTGAAATGTACGTTACCTACTCATATTCCGAGGCAATCGTGTCTTTATAGTGGTGATTGTGACATATAACACAATGTGATTACATAGAGAATTTTTTTTGGAATAAACTGAAACAAAACGATGAATTTTTAGATGAATTTTAAGCTTTTTATTAAACAGAAATATATCTTGAAATGTACGTTACATCTACGTAGTTGTCTAAATCGGCATGGATATATGTTAAAAAAGACAGTAACTACAAAATAGAATTTTATTACATGTACATGTTAAGTTCCACTATCTATAGAAAATGACAAGATTACAAACTGATCGCTCTAAACAAAACAGAGAGAAGAATTTAAAGCATATATTTAAAAAAAGTTTTCATACATATGGATCAAAAAGTAACCTTTGTTTTTTGAAAGGAAAAATCAAACGCACGTTCGTATGCCGAGAAAATATGTTGTTGACAGAGTTGGTAGGATGTTCTGGTGTTAAGATGAGATATTCCAATTGTGATTTTAATGACTACATTTTTTTTTACATATCTTATTGGACATTGAAGAAAGAGTAACGTACATTTCAAGCTACATTTCTGAATAAAATCACCCTCTACTTTACCGTCTTGTCATTATTCCATGTATTAAAATTTGATGAAAAAAAACCTGGAAACAAAATCTTCAGATACTTTCTTTCAAAAGTAATTGATAGAAAAATTGTTATCTTGAACTTCATTTTTTTTAAAATCAGAGAGGCATTTGTGCCCTTATATTGAGAATGGGTGATTACTTAATTCACTATATGCATATTAGTTTAAATTTGGCTGTGTAGTGTTAGTCTGTATATTGAAAGTTTTTGATTTACAAATTTCTGTGTCATCTAAGCACTTTGAAGAAAATAATATTGTACGCAGTATACATTACAGCGATGTATATACAAATTATTCTACAAAAATACTAAACATATTATTTATTCCATCGGATTCTGCATTTTGGAGATTTAAGGTTCCGTCAATAAATTCATTTTCTCTATTTACGTAGTGACAATGACTCTGACTTGTAAGTGGGAATAGAACTTTCGAGATAAAGGCGGAGGTAGTATCCATGAAGTCGCAGACATTTATATCCACACTTTTCACATAAAAAAATAAGTAGACTTTGAGTTTCCATATCCACTTCTGCATGAAAGATTACGTTGGTTACTGCTTTCAGTATATGCATAGTTTAAAGTTGTCAGCGTAGTGTAAATCTGTAATGTCTATTATGATTATATTTAAAAAAAATATTCTTAATTCATTCTCTAATTTGAATGCGAAATTATCCCGGAATCCGAGTTTTATTTTCGATTCTAAAATATTATATGTACTCAAAAGGGAACTGAGAGATAGAAGAGTAATGTAATACCGTTGTAAAGCCTTTAGAAATAAATTGATATCTGCAACTTAAAAGAAAGAAAATCAATCTATAGATTGGATTTGGTTTTAACACGTATATTTCATTGATTAAAAGTCTTATAGTGTTATTTATTATACATGATCTATTCCTTTATATACCCGAGAAGTTATTAAAGATGAGAAAAAGCGTTTCTGTGTGAAATAATGCTACGCTAAAAACATGATACAAAAACATCTGCAAAGGTCTGTTGATATGTTAGATAAAGTATACGAATGAACACAATTTTATGCAATGCTATATAATTATATGTACTGTATGTACATGCAACCTTAAGTATTTTCCTTTTAATTCATAAAACATAAAATTACCGAGTATGTAATTCTTTTGAAGCCCCCCCCCCCCCTCTTGATTTTATTCGGAGACATTATTGCAACTATAGGCCTTTGAATTGTAAATTCGTTATACAATTAAATCTGGAACATTTGATTATAATTACCATTAACATGTATACAGAATTCTTATTCTATAATAGTAGATTTTTCATTACGCAAGATACTGAAATTTACATGTCTGAGAGAGAGAGATATTCCCTTTTAATCCTGATTATCCTATCCATTTACATAGACAAAAAATCAGTTCTATATCAGTTGTACCCATTATTTATTAAATATTTTCTGATTTCATAGTCCGTCATAGTCACTCTCTGTATATTTTTTCTGCTTAAGAAGTATTACACTAAGTGCACACATGTATTGACCTGTCAATCAAAATCACCGGACGCTGTATGCATTGCAATAAAGTTGTTCGAAATGATTTTTATTATTAAGTATGATCTTTAAGAAAATCTGATGCAACAAATTTGAGAAATGAAAAATAAAATAAAAACATGGCTAGAGCATCATATATCTGTATTATGGACTTCAGTTGTGGGACGTGGAGACCGGTCCGTCAGATGAGATCGTTTAAATCGAGGTCCCGTGTGTCAGATGGTACTGACTCAAAAAGATTCCTCACTGCTCAATGGCGATTAGAGCCAAATTATAGGACAACATTTTGCAGTCTCCACCGGCGAGTTGAGGCTTCTCCATGTGAAAAATTCTCGAGAGGGACATTAAACAACATATAATCAATTGATCGCTGAATAATTCCTGTAGCTGAATTCGAATAATCTTTCTGCCGATAAATCTCGATAGTATTACTGTAAAAATCAACGAATTTAGGTTTAATGTGGTACTAACTTAGTTCATGACATTTTTATAACACCATCACAATTGTGCCAGAACATAAACACAGTGAAGTTTATGATAGTACGGTGTTCGTTCGTCCGTTGGTTTGTCTATGATACACGTGTAGCTGTTATAAGTGCCAAAATGCATAAGAACAAGATTGGTCATGAAAATCAAAGTACCTTAAGTATTGAAAGACCTTTTTGCAGTTTTTTTTTCTTTCAGAGTATAAATGATATCTATGTTTTTTGCAGAGAAAAAAGCAAATTCTTACAGATTTAGAAGAACGGAAGACTTATTTGTTGCCATGGCAACAAGATTCTAGTTATTATTATTATTTTTCTTCTTCTTCCTGGAACTTTTTTGTCCGGGAATGATCTTTTAAACTGTTCGTCCGATGTAGGTAAAACTTTTTTAGGGTTAGTAGACATGTTATGTAGATTTGCGGAATCAAGGTCATTTTGCGCGCACGTGCTTGCAAGAGCGTGCACTTGCAACACGTGAAATGACCAACATAATAGATATAGCCACAACCGTTCTATTTTTAGATGAAATGCTTTGAAACTCATAATGTGAGGATATATTAGTAGTATAGACATGACGACATGGTAAAAATAGCAAGATCTCACGCGCATGCACGTGCACTTCGCTCTGATTGGCTGCAACGAAAGTCTCAATATCATTCTTGTTTTTTGACGAAATCCTTTGAAATTTTGAACATAGCCATGTATTAGAATATCCTACATGAAATAAAGCAATTATCATGAAAACACATGCATGCACGTGCGCTGCAATCTGATTGGCTGAAAATTTAAACAGCTATAACTCCCTTGGTTTTCAACCAAACAGGATGGGATTTGGAACATAGATAGATATAATGGACTTCTACAAGTAGGTATGGTCACCATGCACATGCATACACGTGCGTGTACATGTGCTGCAATCTGATTGGCTGAAACTTTAAACAGCTATAACTCCCTTAGTTTTCACCCAAACGGGGTGGAATTTAGAACATAGATAGATGTAATTGACTTCTACAAGAAGGTATGGTCACCATGCTCATGTATGCACGTGCGTGCACGTGAAATGAGTAAAATCAAACATACACTTGAATGAGCGTATTTTTTAAATAATTTTGGATGAAATACTTTAATATTCAGTGTATTAAAAATATAGATTGTGTAGACAAGATGATATGGTCATGACGCAAATGCATTCACATGTGCACGCGTGCAATACTAAAGTTTAAATGATTTTTGTACACTTCTTTGTAAATGTTGTTAAAATCTCAGATGCATAGAGTTTGTCTTATTTAATGAAGCTTACAGGGAATATGGCACCAAAAGGGAGTTGGGGAGCGTTTGGGGAACATCTGTAACGGTCCCCGTTACAATTAGCACAAGTATTCAAAATGCTTCTCTGTTACTTTTGTGGTATATAATTCAGGTCTTAAGATGAAAAAGTACATGTAAGAACCAAAATTTTAAAGTGATTATTTTATTCACATTTCTAATCATGCTTTCTTGAAATTTCTTAATTACAATTTCCTTTCACCATGTTAATTTACTCATTTACATGTTTTACATGTATCATTAACACATTAAATTTTTTAAGTGTTTAGCATGTGTTATATATTAAAACAAGAATGTTCTTACCTGTATATCCTTTATCACACTTACAAGGTGCTTCAAAAAATCTCTTAACTTCTGTTTTTATTCTGTTTTCAAAGTCACATTCCCCGTTTTCACAACCGGGACATAGAACAATTGTAATATCCAGTGATGCAGATTGTGCACCCTTATCATCTTCTGCTATTAAACTAAAAAATATCCATGAAAATTAGCAACAAAGTAGAAATAAAATGCATGTAATATAAAACCGAAAAGAGAAAAAAGTACAACATATATAAATAAAAAATGAATAAAAGATAAGTACATATAAAGAAAATATATCCTTTCTTTTAAACACTGAGTGCATTAAAGCAAAAACTTCACTGATCGGTGTTTTGTCTTTCCTGATATACTTTATTTTATCAAATAAAATATACAACATGACTATCTTAAGAAAGTCATGTTGTATATTTTATTTGATAAAATAAAGTGTATCAGGAAAGACAGTTTTACTCAAACTTTCACCTTATTTCGGCCGCACTGAAATTGCTTGGTGTCCATGTTGCAGTGATATTGTTCAGGGTAAAATTTGCAGGCTGCTTTTGTAGTTTTAACTTTGGTTTATTTATTCCATCGTCAGAAGCATTAAAGATCAGTTTCGCTTCCTTGTTAACTTCAACGTGTATGGTGGTATTTCCCGAGAGTTGCGGAGTTTCATTTTCTACAGCATAGAAAAGATAAAATGTAGTAGTACAGTAAATATAAATAAACGTAGTCAAGAACAAACATAAAGAAACACAGACCAAAAATCAAAGTTTTTGACTTTTTGAATGCAATTTATATTTACCAATTATTGAAAGGTCTGATTTAGATTCTTTTGCTTTGTTCCCAGAAGATTCAGCAAGACTTATATCCCCTGTTGCAAGATAGTCAAAAATGCAGGCTTGGGAAGGTTTTGGACCACATTTTTTCTCGGCTTCTTGCTTACGAGCATTGTCTACTTCGTCGGTAAATATCGGCACAAATTCAGGATGTGAGAAGTTCTTGAAAGTCAGTCCGTCATCATATTGAAACAGAGAACGGTTCTCTACGGACCCTGTGAAAATATAAGTTGGAAGTTAAAGGTTTAAAGGTTAAGGTTAATACAGTCAATTATAAAAAAGTGATCTATCATTATTAAATACAGTATTGTTGACTTACATTTCTGACCAAAGTTATTGAATATGAGTCTCTCAGTTTTGGTTTCATTTTCACTTAGCACTGTGCCATCAGGGAGGATAAAGTCATTCGTTGCATTTCCGTCAAAGTTTCCCATTAAGCCTAACGTTCGTGTCTTGTACATTTCGTTGACAAGGGTTTCACAAATCAAAAATCGCTTTCCAATGCTGACTTTAATAGTTATGCCTGGAAGGAAAATATTTATTTTATTGCATCTAGGAAAATCTAAGCTATATATGTATATATGTAAATGATTCTGGAGGTACTGCAATTCCGTTTATTTGTCTTTCTTCTGCTGAAATAGATTGTACTCACCAGAATTAAGAAAAGTGGCAGAAATGGATTGATTTTGCCAACGCAGCGATAAATTTTGCGTCAGGAAAGAATAGTTGGCATTGTCAAATTTGGTTGTCAGATCTATTTCGTTTCCTTTGATAATCATTCCTAAAATCAAAGTATGATATGAGACTGATACGAGTTACATACAATTATATATTAAAAGGTTAAGATATTGAAGTACATGCACCTTTATTAAAATTAAGTTTTTGTAAAAAATGTTTATCGATGAGTTATCCGAAATGCATGTTGGGGGCATATGTCACCATAATTCTTCTTTTTCGTCACCGATTTGGTCAGCGGATCAAAACTAAAAATAATATAACTGAAACGGATCGACTAACTGTACTTATGAAGCGTTTTCTTACCTTTTTTATCGCGAGACATTTCGACCTGTACTTTTGAACCAGTTTGGTCCTGTGCAACGAAGGCACTAAATATTGTTGCATTTGTAGTTGTTCCATTTTCCGTACTTGCTAAATCAGTCCTTGCTTGAAGATCAAATGTCATTTCACTAGTATTTATTTTCATCATTGTGTATTCACCATAACCATTGAATGTATAGTTCTTTCCATCAAGTGTAGTGATATGCGGATCGCCAAAATTTATCCCTAAAAATAACCTTAAAATGAAATCTCAGAAAACCAGACAAAACATTTAATTCAAATTCAATTAAGTTAACTATACTTCAATATGTGCCACATATTTGAAAAATGCGTTTTCAAAATGCATAAACTTACCTGGTTGGAAAGGAGATCTCACGTAACATTGTGGAATGGGACGCAGTTCGTAATACCAATCGCAATGCCCCGTTTTACAACATTGGTTTCTAGGTTTCATATCATAGTTGCTGTATTTGAATCGTTCAAAAAATGGATTATACTTTAACACGGTCCCTGCTAATGGTTCTGAACGTTCTAATGGTCCCAAATGTGCTGTGTCAGCATACATTTTATAGCAACATTCCTTAAACAAAATTAAAAATTATGTCGAAATTTCACTTTAAATATTGCAAAGCAGGAATATGGAAACAGAATATGAATTGAGTGGATTTTTTATTTCTTTTATAAACCAGCTTACAGTATTTCTTCCTATCGTCATTGAGGCATAACACAGCAGTCTATTATTTTTTTTTTTAACAAGTCTGTTAATTTCGTAACGTGGATCAAATCGAAGTAGACCGTTGTCACAGGGACACTGGATAGAGGACAATCGATGACCAGTGTCCTTATTATTGGTGTACCAAAGAAAACATTCCTTCTCATCTCTTACAGACTGCACACCCTCAGACATTTTGTAAATCCAGATTCCAGGTTCCCCTGTTTTGTGATAAATGCAAAGGTTAATAATTTTAATATAAGAATGCAATGAAAACTACTGTCTATCCTAGAAAAGATTTTCTGATAAAAGCAAAGACCAGTATCTTAAGAAAGTAATTGAGAAAAAATGCTTCATGCTTAAATTAATCTTTGAAAATGTGTATACGTATAAACTAATATTTCCCTCCCGTAATAAGTGTCTTTTCTAAATCATAATCTCAGACATACAATTGTTTTAAGATAAATGTAGTATAGCATTGTCCAATGACATAATACATGTACGTGTATGATCAATAATTGTTTGTAAAGAGCTCGGGTCACTTTATGCATAAAACAGCTCTGTAGATATACCAATTTATTGGTTCCATTTTAACATCAAAATAAAGTAGAGACATAGTACTTTCATTTCTTATTAAATTTTTCCCGTTAAACTCCAGGTCATAGAACACAGGCTTCATGAAATTTCAATGTTCTTGAACTTGAATTTAAACAAATATTTTTGAGTACTTTAAGAGAAGATAAATAATATGAACGCACCCTCTGATCTAAAAAATAGAACATGTCTTGAAATCTTCAGAATCAGCTTTATCATTTACTAATTGCTTATTTTGGATAAGGGGTTGTGCTTTATATAAAATATTGAAAAACATCTATAAAAATTGGCTGTTTTGTAGACTTTTTCAGAACATGAGGAAATTAAATTGACGCATGACGAATCTGTCATTTTTGATAAACTTGAAATCATCAATGGTCTAAATAATACTTCATGCATTGTTAACTAAAAGTAAACAGTTTTAGTTTTTCAGAAATTCACAGGACCAAAAAAGGCATAAGTGAAAATTGTTTTATTTCGGTTGATCGATTTTTTTGTAAAAATGCCTTTTTTGTACGCGGTGGTTTTTTGACCGATTAATGAAGACATAAAAAGATCTTGAAGTGAAACCAATGTCTTAGCAGAAATCCAATTTTTGTCTGCTAAAGTGCTAATGATTTCATTATCCGCCCAGCACGTCATGAAATTATGATTACAACATCCACGTCATCCAATACCATACTTAGGAAGGAACAAATAGCACCCCATTCGGCGAACCTAGGCATATGTTATGAAGTCCCCATGTAGATCTACCACAGAATGGCCTAGATCACGCCCTGAGGTTGACGAGCTAGAACACATTCCAGCAGAGGGTACTGTAGCTCTTGCACCCCGTGTTGAATCTCGATGCGCACAACATATGTGGCCTAGACCAGAAATTGCTGCAGTAGAAGCAAGGAAAATTCGCATTGTGAATAATGAAGATGAACCCAAGGAACTGAAGAAAAATGGACATTTCTGACCAGTCCTCCCTACTAAATCGGCGTCAATCAGCACCAATGAAACTGTCTCCAGATGCTTGTCTGCCTGTAATACTTCCCTGCACAGCACCGTCCATCACTCGGATACATAGTAATGTCAAGATCGACCCCGATCATATCCTAACCCATAGCTAAGGCTCAACAATTATTTCACAAAGTCCTCCAAGATCATAATTCTTTGTTCAATCCCCACGATGGAAAAGCGGGAAGATTTGACATGAAAATTATCTTGGGCTCAACGCAACACTCACAGAGGAAGGGCCGCCTTTCAAGGTATTCTAAAGAGATGTAAAAAATTCTGCAAGACAAGTGTAATGAACTGGATGTCCTTGGATCCTTTAAAAAACCAGAAGAGTTAAATATTACTTAAGAATACCTCAACCCATCTTTCCTTGTTTCTAAGCCTAGCAGAGGACACAGACTGGTAACCGCTTAAGAAGGTGTTGGACGCTTTTCAAAATCTCAACCATCCTTAATGCCATATATGGACTCCACTTTACGCACCATAAGTCAGTGGAACTATTTATAATAGTAAGAGACCTAACCAACGCTTTAAATAAGATTCAACTACCTAAAGAGTCGATGTGCTTCTTTGGCACTGTCACCCCATAAAAAGGCGTGCCTGTTTATACCAGATGTGCTATGGGGATGCCGGGATCAGAGACGGCTCTAGAAGAGCTTACATGTAATTATGTGCAGAATCTTAGGTGACAACCTCCCAGCAAACATTGTTTCAAAATTATCTGACGACCTGAACTGTGGCTGAAGAATTTCTACGACACTAGGTCAGCATAAAGAATGCTCTAGATTTTTGCGGACTGAGCCTAGCAGCAACCAACACAATAATCCGCCTATGTTATACTACAATATTAGGATGGATCTGGACACTAGACCACCTTTACGTAAGCCCTCATGCAAACTGCCTGATTCTGTCCATGGCCTTCGCTCATTTATTGAAGACTACAAAATGTTATCCCGCATCTTACCTGGTTGTGCACGTACATGCCATCGCCGCACTGAATAATGAAATCAGTGGCCGTCAGTCAAGAAACAAAATTAAGTGGTCTGAAGAGTTAATAGGACACTTCCACACACCCAGACAAAACTGAAAGATTTCCAAGATATCTTCTTTCGAACCACAGATGTCCATTTATGGATCATTACTGATGACTCTGGTAGCAAGCGTGGGATTTGTGCAACGCTATACTTCATGCGCAAAGATGAAATTCACTTAGTTGGATTCTTCAGCGTCAAGCTACGAAAACACCAAGTGACATAGCTCTCATTCGATATCGACATATCTGCCGCCTTAAAACATTTCAGCTCTTGTATCATTCAGTCCGCCAACAAAACATGGGTCCTTACAGACAGCAAACCATGCGCACAGGCTATACTTAAGCTTTTCCGCGGCAAATTCTCTTCAAGCCCTCGAGAAACATCCTTCCTCTTTACAGCTAGTCGTTATCAGGCCTGTGGGCCATGAAACTTAGACGAGCTCACTTTTGATCTCAGTCTCACTTTTTCCACTATATATTCCTTTGGAAAAAGTGAGACTGAGATCAAATGTGAGCTCGTCTAAGTTTTATTGACCCCAGGCCAGGTTGACCTACAACATCTTGTAGGTTCCGCAAATACACATTCCATTTGACTTCGCCAGCAGAAATGTAGCAGAGTGCAAGAATCCCTCATGCCAAATATCAACTTCATTATACAAATGAGGACTCAATCGTGCACATGACAAAAGTTATAGAGCAAAGTACCATTAATATGCAAATCTTGCCATTACCTTTCACAACCAGGTCAGTAAGGATCAATATCCAAGCAGAGTACCCGGATCTCAGATGAACTAACAATTCAACCAGGGTACCAGACCTTTGGATTTGTCTCAATCAGTCGACCGTGTATGCGACTCGTGCCATACCTGTACTTCACTCAAATACTTTCCAAATAGGTATATTGAGCTGTCATCCAAACCTCCTTCGGACATAACAGGGATTAGCTCTGCTATTGGTGTAATAAAGCAGAACCACCAACTAATCCTAGTCTTGAAAGAAGCAATATACAGTCACCTGTCCAATTAATGTTGAAACAGCCCATACCTTAAGGGAAGCTTTGCTCTTACTGTGCATGGATCTCCAACCAGTCGATGAGCAAAGAGATATTACATATGTATTCGTGTCAACACTGCGTCGGGTTTAGTGGTCTACACGTGGACTCTTAGATCACTCTCGCATCAACCCGGAAATTAGGAGAGTTAAGTAGCCGAAAAAGCTGTTGCAGAACTTAAGGTGGAAATACTTAGGCAAGATCCTGGAGGAGGTCCAGTTTCGCAGCTTAGCCTTTCCACTGCCGTAGCAAGACTCTCAACTCCCGTATCCGTAATGAGGGCATATCAGCACGAGAATATATATACAACACAATCAGTTCACACATGAACAGCTACCCATGACCGACTGTGAGATTATCGCCGAAAAACAAGCGTACTGGGACTCTAACTGCATCAGCAGTACATGGTCCAAGTAAAATAAAAAAGACCACGCCCTCTTTCCATTCCACCCGTTGATGATTTAGTGTATTTGTATTCAGACCGAGATATGATCAAAGCCCGTCCCAGGTACATTGAAGTCCGAGTGAATGATGAGTGGCGCTATATGAAAACTATACTACTACTATCAAACTCGTACAAGATCAACACAAGTGAGTGTTGCCGTGTTCAGACAGAAGTAACCTCTAAGACCCAACGACAACACATCCCTGAAAATAAAGACTTGAAGGATACCCCTATCATCCAACTCGACACTTCTGAGAAGCTTCTTTCCTCAAAGCCTGCAAGGACCATCCCACAAGACGAGGTCTCCAACTATGAATCACCTCCGATACAAGAACGCTATGTACAGCCCCACATACAACCGAAAAAGAGCAGGCAGAAGTGCTGGTTTCGGATACAGAGGACAAGGTCCAAGATGCCTCAAATCGCCCTCAGATAGCAAGAAACCATCTAACTTTCAGAAAATACCATGTTGTTAAGAGACAAAAATGAGAAAAGAGGTTGTGAAAGTATTTTTATGTACTTGTTTAACGTGAGGAGCTCTGTTATTTAAGGAAATAGTTTATGTCTTTGTTAATTCGCTTACAAGGGTTGTCCCAAAAAGTCGCAGACAGGAAAAACAGTTTATTTTCTCTTTGTTAAATTAAGTTTTTTCTTGTCATAACAAAAAGTAACATTTTATGATCATGCTTTTCAAATTTCATGATGATATCACATTTAATAAGAAAATTATGAAAAAATAAAGAAAGCAGGTAAGTGTACATCGGCGCACGAAAGCAAGCGTAATTTACGTCTCTTATAACGTCATGATCTATTTTTTTTTTGCTTCACACGCGCCTGTTAACATTCAATAATTTTTTTTAAGTGAAAGACCACTCTTGGCTAAGGGACTTATTTAAATTCAGTACTATCCGGCTTTTTGTTGCTGCTTTTTTTTTAAAAGTAGATTCAAATTTTAGTCGAAATTTAGTCGAAAGATCACCATACATTGTAGGTAGCAGAAAACACGCATTGTTTGACGTCGTTCGTGGTCAATACTGTTCCCCATTGTCTGCGTACCTTTACAAACAGTACTTTACTTCTTACATGCTATACATGTAACTATTTCCGGTATAGAGGAAAAACTCTCATTGAATCCCATGCCATTTAAAAATAACTTCCCTATTAATATCTAGTGTGTAATGTCACTTCTGTACTCTTTTTTTCTGTCTCTGATATATTTAAACCTTATTCAAAACAATTTATTATATATCCGTGCGCCGGTTACGCGATTGACGACGTCATTTTCATCAAAATCAATTCCAACAACACTTTGAAAATCATGACACCAATCGTCTGTTTCCAATGCTATTTATATGAAATTTTGACATATTATTAAGATTTTGATTCTGATTTCACTGATTTAAATTTGAGTTCAATATTTTACAAAGTACTTAAGAAATTAAAGCAAAAGTAATAGTTATATGCGTAAATTAATCCGAATTTTGTCCGTGCGCCGACAGACCTTATCGGCCATCATTTAAATCGTCCTAATATTATCAATATGAAAGATTTATATTTAAAAATCTACGATTTTAAAGAACATTGAATATAATATGTCTATGCAAAATTTGGTTAGTATTGGTTGCATGTTTAACAAGAGGCCCACGGGCCTTGTAGGTCACCTCAGTATCATGCGACAACTTTTCAACAATTGAATTTGATTCATGTTTTAAACCAGAGGCCATGAAATTCACAATTTTGAAAGAGGCACCATTGCTTATCATAATTATACACTCAGCATGCTTATTTTGGTTACTTAATACCCAGAGGTAGATCAGAGTAACAAAGAGAAAATGCATTTCCACTTTTAGTGAATTTCAGGGCCCCTGGGTCAGGGCTTCTTGTGTTAGGGCGGGTCCAAAGTTGAGCTCCTCATCCCACAGGAACCACTGACCCTGAGGCCATATCTTTCAAAATTTTGGATTTTTAAAGAAATTTATTTCATCATGCTGTTGATTAATACCAAAGTGCAGATTTCAAAGCATTAAATTATTTCAGACTATGTTACCCCCCCCCAAAGTACCTCTGTCCCAGGGGCCAGGTAATTAACTATTTTTGAAAGAAGCAGGGTTTTTTGTCATAAATATATACTAAGATCATTGGCATTATACCCAACAACAAAGGAAAAGATTTTCAAAGAATTCATGCATTTTCACTATATAAACATAAGAGCCCCGCCCTAACACAAGAAGCCCTAACCCAGGGACCCTGAAATTCAAAAATCTCAAAGAGACATCCTTCCTCCTCATAACTATGTACATAGTTCATTCGTTAAATACCCAGGTGCAGAAAAGAAGAGTTTTAAAGAATTTAGGCATTTTCACTACATAATCAATAAAAGCCCCGCCCTAACACCAGAACCCCCAACCCAGGGGCCATGAAATTCAAAATTTAGGAAGAGGTAGCCTTATTCAACCTAACTATGTACTTGGTTAGTTTATTTGATACTCAGGAGCAGAGAAGATTTTCAAAGAAATAATTCATTTCTTACTATATAATCTATATAGCCCCGCCCTAGCACTAGATCCCCTGACCCTGGGGCCATGACATTCACAATTTTGGGGGAGGCAACCTTATTCAACATAGCTATGCACTTGGTTAGTTTATTTAATGCCCATGAACAGAGAAGAAGAAGTTCAAAGAATTTTTATATTTTCACTATATAATCTATATAGCCCCACCCTACCACTAGAACCCCTGACCCTGGGGCCATTAAATTCACAATTTGAGAAGAGGCAGTCTTATTCAACATAATTATGCACTTGGTTAGTTTATCTAATGCCCACAAACAGATAAGAAGAATTTCAAAGAATGTATGCATTTTCACTATATAATCTATACAGCCCCACCCTAGCACTAGAACCCCTGACCCTGGGGTCATTTAATTCACAATTTTGGAAAAGGCGGTCATTTTCAACTTACCTATGCACTTGGTTAGTTTATTTAATGCCCAGGAGCAGAAAAGAAGAATTTCAAAGAAACGATGCATTTTCACTATATAACCTGTTTAGCCCCGCCCTAGCCTCTAGAACCCCTGACCCTGGGGCCATGAATTTCACAATTTTGGTAGAGGACTCAATGTTGATTACAATCATACCAACAGTTTGACTGCTTGATGTCCAGGAGTAAAGAAGAAGATTTTTAAAGATTGCACTTATTTTAGTGTTTTTGGCCCCACCCCCCAGTCCTCAGGGGGGCAGGGACCATGAAATTCACAATTTTTGTTCCCCTTCACCCATAGATGCTATATGCCAAATTTGGTTGAAATGGTTCAGTGGTTTCAGAGAAGAAGCTAAAAATGTTCAAATGTTAACGCACGACGCACGACGAACGACGACGGACGAAAACAGATAGCAATAGGTCACCTGAGTTTACTCAGGTGACCTAAAAAGTTATAAACATTGTCTACGACTTTTTGGGACAACCCTCGTATGTTTATGTTTTGGAGCCAAAACTTGTGTTTTATATAAACTCTCATCCTATTAGTTCTTTTGTTTATTATTGGCATTATTCATATATCAACTTAAGTATACCTGTATTTCCAGGCATCGAGGTCATCTTAAAAGCTCCTTTTTGGTTTGAAAAGGGATTTTTAATGAGAAATTTTTTATATCTGTATCCCATTACAATTTTGAGCTTCTTGACAGGATTCAAATTGACATCTAGATAATTGAACACCGCGAAGGTATTCTCGCCATCCGTTATCAGAAGGCACTGAACTGTAATTTTCTGAAACGAAGAAAAAAATATTGACAACTTATGGATTAACTTCTTTTTCTCTCAGTGACTGTCATTATTTTTCATAAAAAAAATTTGAGTCAATGTATGATAAAAAATCGATCAGACCTAGATCGTGACTAGATTAACTGAAACTTTTTAAAGTTCGAACGTCCAATACAGAAATTTCAGAATTCTTTCAACTTATCTAACAATTACTTCGAACTTATCAAGATGACCTTAGGGACAGAGTAGTGGAACATTCTTAATTAAATTAAATCATAATTAAAGGTTCTGCGTCCGTAAACGAACAATCATTTGCAAAATATGTTGTACACATAAAGAATAAACAATATGTTATTGTGCTCGGTAGAATATAATGAAACAAAAAATGGCAACAAATTTAATACCTGTTGGCTGTTTGAGATTAGTGACATATTCTGCCATGTAACTTTGACAAGCCATGTAGCTTTGAAATCTTTATAATCTTTAAAATATTTCTTCACAATACCATCTGCTTTTTGCATAAACATGGAATCGATTGTATCTTCATCTTTTACTCTGAAATTCAAATACAGAAATTACAGAGTTGATTCGACTGGAAGTCGAACATATGAATCAACATTTAACAAGTCCATAAATAAAAAATATTTTCAAAAAATACCTTTTATATGCGTTGTAATACACTTTTGCATGTGAGTCTGAGGAATTCAAATCCACCCAGAATGGACAAATAATTTTTCTGTTTTTCATTTTTTTATAATCCAATTCGTGCACGTCAGCGCTATTAAATTCTTCCCCCAGACCGATGATACCATTTGTACCAATCTTAAAAATGCATCGGACATGAAAATAACTCATCAATCTTGTTATTTGATCCCTCATCACATTATTTCATTGATGTTTATATTAAGAGAATGGACGCTTAAGATCCAATAGATTTCATGAATTGTTTCACATCTAATGAAAAATTTAAAAATGCCAACCAGCGTCCTATTTAGTAATCGACGTTTTAAAGCAAAAAGACATATTTTTAGAATTCATATTGATTATAAATTGTAAATACTTCTTAATTCTAAATTACTAGCAGTGAACAATTGTAGTAAATAACATAGAACAATAAAATATCTAAATTACTGTAACAAAGGTGAATCCTCCTTCTGTCCCATTTCCAATGTACACAGTTGTTGGTGAATTCAGTCTTTGACTAATCTTTTCATCTCCAGTAAGAATGAAATCTTCATTGCCGTATGGAATGTAAGCATCTCCACTATACCGACCTGGTTGAGGACAACAAATTAATTTAAATTAATAATTATAAAAATAATGGATAAAATTTGTCTCTGTTTACATATTTGTTACGATTTTCTCTAATGTGTAATTGTGATAAAATGAATAAGTTAAAGAACTGTTGGTTTGGATGATTCTATGGTCAAGTTCTGGTTATTTGAAATATGCATGCTAGCTGATTTGTCTGAAAACCCAGCACTGCTTATTTTTAAATGATAATTCATAGACAAGTAAAAAATAATAAAACTATTATTTTGAAAAATAACTATGGGTATGTACTTTCATGTGTTTTAATCTCATATTCGGAGGAAGAACTTTCTCTTGTTCCATTCCAAGGATAGTTAGTTGTATAACCGTAACTTATTGCTGTGATAGTAACGTTGTATTTGGTGAATGGTTCTAACAATTCTTCCCAAGATATCTCTGGAACTGCCCCCTCTGTCATTTGCTCATGGCCGTTTATCATCACTTTGTAACGGTTTACAAAACTATTATTTTCGGAATCATTCCATCTCAAGTACAGGTTGTCCGCGGAATAATTGCTCAATGTAGTCAGAGGTCCTGGTGGCATCGGTGCTACAATAGAAATAAAGGCTAAAAAGTTTCCCATTTATAAATCAAAAACATTGTTTATCATGTCACCTTAAACATATCCCCATTTTATAGAGATATGCAACGAATTTCGTTTTCAAAATTTGTAAATTTTTTAAAAAAATTCAACGTTCTTATATTCCATGGAAACGTCTTTCAATTAATAGAATTTAAAACAAACCAGAAGTCTCTGTCGAGACTGAAGCTCTACTGGTTTGTACTTATAGCAAAGGAAGAGAAAAGTACTTAAGCAGTTGGAAATTGAAACTTTTCAACAGCAATAAATAGAATAATGATCTTTGATTAAGTCTCTTTATGTTCTTAGTGCAGTCTACTTGCATGCCACATATATATTATAATCAAACTAAAATTGTATTTGGAGTAGCATTTTGAAAGAATTTCACAGAAATTTCTATTTTAAGTAACCACGGCAACACCGTTCATCGAAATCAAAAACCGATACACAGAATTATGTATCTTATTGTAGTCTACTTGTGTGCCAAGTTATATTGAAATCAGACTAAAACTGTAGAAGGAGTAGCATTTTGAAAGAATTTAACAGAAATTTCTATTTTTAGTAACCACGGCAACACTATTCATCGAAATCAAAAACTGATACACAGAATTATGTATCTTATTGTAGTCTACTTGTGTGCCAAGTTATATTGAAATCAGACTAAAACTGTAGAAGGAGTAGCATTTTGAAAGAATTTAACAGAAATTTCTATTTTTAGGAACCACGGCAACACCGTTCATCGAAATCAAAAACCGATAAACAGAATTATGTATCTTAGTGTAGTCTACTTGTGTGCCAAGTTATATTGAAATCAGACTAAAACTGTAGGAGGAGTAGCATTTTGAAAGAATTTCACAGAAATTTCTATTTTTAGTAACCACGTCAACACCGTTTATCGAAATCAAAAACCGATACATAGAATTATGTATCTTAGTGTAGTCTACTTGTGTGCCAAGTTATATTGAAATCAGACCAAAACTGTAGGAGGAGTAGCATTTTGAAAAATTGTTTACAGACAGACAGACGGATAGACAGACAGACGGACGTACGACGGACGCATTACTATCGCATAAGCTCTTCTGGTCTCTGACCAGTAGAGCTAAAAAAAAATGGAATAGACTTTAATTTCAATGACAAGTATTCAGTTTGAAGTAAGAATATATTTTTAACTTTTTGATAGGAAAACAAAATTAAACAAGATGTGTTTGTGAAACACTGATGCCCCCGTATGGCAACATTGTAAAGATTAATATTTTCGTAGATGCAAATTTAATATATTAGTACCCAAAGTGGGGTCTCCTAACTGGAAATACAATTGTAAAACATGAAAGCCCTATCACCATCTGTTCCCAAGTTATGGCAAGTCTAAAAAAATTTTCAAAAGTACAAGAATCTTCAAGATCAATGTCAGAAGGTCAAGGTTATTGATATCCAGTGAAAAGTCTTTCCACAAAGATCACATGTTTGAAGTATGGAAGCCATGGTCCTAACTGGTCAAATGTTATGGCCAAGGTTAAAAAGATTATATTAGTACGTTAAACTCCAAGATCAAGGTCAGAAAGTCAAGGTTTTTGGTATTGAATAAAAGGTCTTGTCTCAAGAATTACACATGTGAAGTATGAAAGCCCTAGCCGTTACTCTTAAAAGTTATTGCCAAGGTTAATGTTTTTTCATAAGCCCGGCAATCTCTAAGGCCAAGGTCAAAAGGTCAAGATTATTGGTATCCAATAAATGCTCTTGCTTCAAAGAATATATATGTGAAGTATGGAAGCTCTAGCCCTAACCGTTCAAAAGTTGTGGCCAAGGTTAAGATTTTTTAAAAGTAGGTCAAACTCTAAGGTCAAGATCAAAGGGTCAAAGGTCTATCAAATGAAAGGTCTTGTCACAAGGATTAATATGTAAAGTATTAAAGCACTAGCTCTTAACCTTTCAAAGATATGATCAAGGTTTAATTTTTTAAAATAGGTCAAACTCCAACGTCAAGGTAAAAGGGTCAACATTCTTAGTATCCAATGAAGCGTCTTCTTACAAGGATTACATATGTGAAGTATGGAAGCTCCAGCCCTCACCGTTCAAAAGTTATTGCCAAGGTTTAAGTTTTAATTTTCATTATTTCATAAATCTCCAAGGTCAAGGTTGCCGGTATCCAGTGAAAGGTCTTGTCACAAAGAACAAATTTGTGAAGTATAAATGTCCTGGTTTCTACTGTTCAAAAATTATGGCCAAAGTAAAAATTTGAATTTTTTGTGTAAAGGTGGGTCAAATTCCAAGGTCAAAAGGTCAAATTTGGTGGTACCCAAAGAAAGGTCTTGTCACAAGAAATACACATGTGAAATATGAAAGTCACAGCTCTACTAAATCAAAAGTTGTTGACAAGGTTAAAGTTTTTGCGGACAAACAGACAAACTGAGAGACAGAGAGACAGGCAGACAGACGGACACGATCAAAACTATATACCCCCGAAACTTCGTTTACAGGGGCATAAAAATAACTTGTTTTCGTTACATTACTAAAATTTACTCTTTTAAAGAAGAAAATTTACAATAATTGAAAACCAATTGCCTTCCCGGTAAGCTGAGTATCACACAACAATTCAAACGATGTATTACATATAAAACAAGATGTGTTTGTGAAACACTGATGCCCCTGTATGGCAGCATAGCAAAGATTAAACTTAAATGCAAATTTAATTAATTGGTACAAAAAGTAGGATATTTTCACTGGAAATCAATTGTGAAATTTAAAAGTAGGCTATAGTTAAGGTTTTTCGAAAAGTTCAAAGATCTCCAAGGTCAAGATCAAGGTAAAAAAGTCAAGGTCATTGGTATCCAATGAAAGGTCTTGCCACATAGAATACTTATGTAGAGCATGGAAGCCCTAGCCCTAACCGTTCAGAAGTTATGGCCAAGGTTAAAAATTTTTAAAGGTAGGTCAAACTCCAAGGTCAAGGTCAAAGGGTAAAAGATCTTGTTATCAAATGAAAGGTCATGTCACAAGAATTAAATATTTTAAGTATGAAAGTACTAGCCCTAACCCTTTAAAAGTTATGGTCAAGGTTTGCTTTTTTAATGTAGGTCAAACTCAAAGGTCAAGGTCAAAGGGTCAAATTTCTTAGTATCCAATGAAGGGTCTTCTTACAAGGATTTCATACATGTATATGAAGTATGAAAGCCCTACCCCTTACCGTTAAAAAGTAATGGCCAAGGTTAAAAAATTTTCACAAGTATGCAAAGGTCAAGGTCAAAGGGTCAAGGTTGTTGGTATCCAATAAAAGATCTTTCAACAAATAATATATATGTGAAGTATAAATGTCTTGGTATCTACTGTTCAAAATACATGGCCAAAGTAAAAGTTAAAAATTTTCATGTTAAAATGGGCCAAACTCCAAGGTCAAGGTCAAAAGGTCAAATTTGTGGTACCCAAGGAAAGGTCTTGTCACAAGGAATACACATGTGTTTAAAATACATTTCGTTTAAAATTGTCCTTAATATATCACTCTTACCATGCAGATTTTTAACAAGATATTAGTGCATACATGAAAGCATTGAAAAGAAATAATGGAATTTTGTTAATTATACAACCTATGTAAATGATAATCAAATGGTTATATGAAACACATGGAGTTAACAAACAGTAATTTAGATCAAAATTCCATAAAACAATACAAAATAGGAGCATTGCAAACACGGACCTCCACGAAGATTAGAGATGGGAGCAGGTGTCATGAAGGAGTGAGTATTCCCTACCGAGCGGTTATTACCGCTGTGTTTACCTTGTCATGTACAGTTTTCAATAAATAGAAATATTCGTAATGTAATGTCGTGACATCATTAGAATTTGTTATACACTGTATCTAATGTTTAAACAATTACCCAAAATAACTTCGGATTCACTGGAATAGGAGTCGACATAGATGATCTGCGATGGGTTCTTCAGTTGAAATTCGGATCTGATATGGATTTTATACAGGCGTCCAGGCCGTAGGCTACATGGGGTTGTGTACTCTGTTTGATTTCCAATGGAGACGTTTTCTGGTAGCATCCAGGAGCCAAAACTGTTTTCCTGCCAGAGTATCTGATATCCCGATATCAGATGTCCATCCTGTGAAGGTGGATCCCACTTTATTGAAATATTGCATGTCGAACTTTCTATTTGAATTGACTGTGCCTGTAATGCGTTTCCTATCGTGAAAAATTATATTGCAATTTAAAAGAAAAATTTAAAAAGATATGAAAAAATCGCAATTGACTCAGAAACGGCAATAAATGCAAGTGATGTGACATTCAGACACAACTTAACAACCTACACTGAAAGAAATACCTCGTTGATTTAACTAGTGTGTCTTGTAAAGCGTTCGTCCGGATGAGTAAACATTCTATTTACTAGCTAAGATAGTGAGAAATCTATGTTGATACCTAGTAAAAGTTACTTATAAATCATACATTTATCAATTATCTGGTAAATCTACCCAATACCTAGTAAAAACTCCTTATAAGATAGTAAAACTACTTAGAAGGTAGTGATTGTATGTACAGCAAATTTATTACACTTCTTATTAACTTGAACTAGTTATTTTTTCCAGCGTATTCTATCTTTTATATGCTCAAAGGCCGCAACTATAATTCTACAAGGAAAACATCACTGAAAACGGAATTCTTTTTCGAACGGCGAAAAAATAAAAACATACCTTTCTTAAAAAGTTTTTTTTTTCCGCAGACAATTTGACTGAAAAGTTATCCTTCTAAAGATATTATGATTTTAATTTATTTTTCTTATATCACTACTCCGACTCATATTAAATGCTAGCGATTATGGAACAAAAATCCTAAAGCAATTTGCTTTATTACATACACAAACATGACAAAGTTTTCAATACTCACTGTTATAGCAGATTGAGTCTTTATGATAAAAGGAAGAATTACACAGACATTGGTTTGATCGGCACTCCAGTCCAATATCTGGAATACACTCCCTCGATCTGTTACACTGCTCTTGAAACTTAAGGCCTGAAATATTATTTATGTCAAGGTTGTAATGGATAATAAAACAATGTATTGTGATAAGTGGGGTTTTGTTTGTGAATGGAAAATAAGTATTTCTTAAAGATCTTATTAAATACATGCAATGCTAAGTATTACAAAGCGGGTCAATGTCTAATATTGAGGTAGATGATACATATATTCTACAAATTTTATATGACTGTCAAATCATTTAGTTATCTTAATCTTAAATTATGATAGTAATTTTGATTTTTTATTTTCAATTTGAAATTTAACACTCACTTCCAACTACTGTGACGTTAACCATAGACAGACTCGATCCCCATCCCTCTGAATTAAGTGCCAGACATTGATAAGATGAACCATTTTCTGTGTCAAAGTCCACTCTGTTGATGACCAATAAGGGGCTACTTAAATCCTCAGTGCTGCCATTGTATCTCCCCTCTTTTATGTCTATATCCGTCACATTTCCATTTCTTAATTTTTGCCACTTCACCTTCGTTGCAGGTGGGAAGTTAATTTTTTCTATAACTTCAGCCGTTATTTTCAATGTAGAAAGGTATGGCGAAGTGACATTTTCTTCTGAGGTAATGTTTAAAGTGGGTGTGCCTAGAGTAAAGTTACTTTTAAAGCTTAAATATATTTCAGTATGTTAAAAAATATTTGAATATACGGCATGTAAATGTAACAAAACATATCTCTGTTCAGTAATTAAAACACCTAATAAATTGACTGACTTAGTTTCTAATTTAGAATCAAGGTTAATTTCTTTTCAAAACCTCTCTCTCTTTCTCATAGCAACAAGTTATGAGAAAAAAATAAAAGTATTGATGATTTAATGAAAAAATTAAAAGCATAATAACTGAAGAAATGCATTTTTCTTGATTTTACACTTACGCAGAGTCATTATTTGCTCCTGATAGTTAATGCTCTTATCCTTCCCCGTGCAGTGATTATTTTCGTAGTAATATCGGTGGAGTTCATCGTAGTAGTCATCACAGCTCATTGTCACGATAGTAACTGTGTAATTCCTTCCAGGTTCCAACCTTTGTTGCCAGGTTATATTGTTATATTTTGTATAATCATAGAACAAGTCAATTGTAACTCTGTAATAGCGTACCAGCGTGTTGTTTCCTGGAACAGTCCACTCGAGAAATAGATGTTCTGGGTGGAAATTGCTAGCATTGCTGTCAAGGGGTCCGGGAGGAAGAGGCTCTGTATGATTTAATATAAGATGTGTTTTAGTGCATATGGTACAATTGCAAGTTGCAAGCTTAGTTGACAACAAATTTATTTATATTTTTACTTCACATTTACTGAAAATGTTCTGAAAATTAATTGAAAAGACATTCATTATCATACCAACAATAAATATCCATGGACCACTTCTTTCTTTAAAGATTTCCACTGGATCACTAAGTAATGCGATAGAGATGATATAAAAATCGTATATGGCACCGGGAATAAAATACGAGTTAAATGTGTGACTGGTCAAATTTCCAACAGACTCGTTTGCAATCAAAGTTGAATTTTGCCGATCTCTGAGTTCTACGCTGTAAGACTGTATGAGGTCCGAGTCTCTGTATGGTTTTGTCCAATTTACACTGATACTTGATGTTGTAATGATATACCTTACGGCATTCGGCCCCAGATAAGATCCTAAAAAGCAATTTTGTCTTATAAATTTATGTAATTCTCTAAGAAAGAAAAGTAAGCCTTATATTCTTTGTATGTTTACTTGATAAAAAAATTTAATTACCACTGTAAAAATACTCAGTATATGAAAAAATTAATCATGACAATTTTTTTTACGTGTAAACTACTTGTAAAATTTCATCGTAATCTGTTACCATTTCAGAACTACTGAAATGTGTTAATAATTATATGCACGTGTACCGTAGAGCGGGTTATTTTAGTGGGGTGCACGTGCTAATTTTAGCTTTTTTGCGTTTCGATGGTAGCTTGCAAAAATTTTAATCGTTAGAATAGTCAGTTCTCTTCTTAGTGTTCATCTGCGAAGAGCTGAAACCCTGTGTCCGCGGAAATAAATAATAATGTGTTCCTCACAGACATCATTCTCTATGCTATGCTACAATATTTTCTACAATATGACAGAAGTCTTTGTTTCACGTTCTAAAATTTGATTGTTCAAAGTATGTGTAAGTATGTATTTTTTTGTTTGAAATAATGCAATAGTCAGACCCCTATACTATAAATAACACCTTTGTTGAAAAGAAGTTGTATGTCCTATCCCCCTTAATCCCATAAACCAGAAGTTATCTCTACAGGTCTATAATTATAAAAAAGTAAGAGAAAAGAAGCAGTTGGACTTTAATTTTTGCAACACAATTAATAGAATAGAGAACCTTGATAGTGTCAGAGGCAAGATTGCATTTAGATTAAAATTGAAGGATGAGAAGCCTTTCAAAAGATTTTGCAAAAATTTTTATTTTTTGTAACCATGGCAGCACTTTCAAAAAATGAAAAACAAAGAAAGAACATAATGAAAGCTATAAACTTTGTAAAACTACAAAACTGTACATAGGAGGAGTAGCTTTCTGAAATAAAAGAACCCCTTCATCGAAATCAAACAGAATTATGTATCTTACTGTAACCTACTTGTGTATCAAGATATACTGAAATCAGACCAAAACTGTAGGTGCGTTTTGAAAGTAAATCATAGAAATTTCTGTTTAAGTAACCACGGCAACCACTTTACAGATAACTATATAAGAAAGGGAAGTTAACGAATAATCGGATTGAAAAGCTGAAGTTATGCCGTTAGTCACATTCATTTACACAATAAATAAAAATATCCATATATTAAACACCTGTTGCAGAATCTGTAGTCAAATCACTGGTGTATCACGAATCGACATAGAGGTAAACTGTAACTTTTGTTAATTAAAAAAGATGTCGCTATATCCTTTAATAAATTGTTATGGTGAAGGCAAAAGCCAGAGTTTGCGTAGGAGTAAAATTTCTTTGTTTATAAAAGATCGCCCAATCAATCCATTTAGATCTATCACTGAGTCAAAACCTCACCGACTTATTTGAAATAAATTGTTTGACCATTATTTACACATCGAAGTTTCCATGGCGTTTCCTTTTACCCAATTATATGGAGAACACGGTGGGTGTGACCGGTTAACAGGGGATGCTTACTGCTCCATAGCACATGATCCCGCCACAGATGATATTTGATGTCGGTGTTTGATCTGCAACTGATTTGTAATGTTTGAATGTCCGTTGAATTTGGATACTATTTGTTATCTCTATATTTTATTTATCTATAATCACAAGAAATGAAGTTTGTTAATTTTTTATCTACAATCAATTTCCTATGCTTTCAAAAAGACTGTTCTGTAATGTGTCGCAAGGAATGAATGTCTAAAACAAACTTAAGTCATACATTTTGATTCAGTTAAACTCTCAAAAGGCTTCAAATATTTTTATCATAGAGTAATTATTCCTGAGAGATTTTCCTAAAATTGAAAACTTACCCCAGTAACATGTCTGATTCCGATGATAGTAACCACTACTGCACAGGCACTCCTCGTAGACAGGCGAGCAAAGTAAAGCATGTTTCCAACTGTCACACTCTCGACTTCTATTGCAAGGATCATGGTATTGCAAAACTGAAATGAAAAGGGTTTTTGTTGATTTTTTGTTTAATTTTTATTCATTTATTCAATTTTTGTAATTTTTATTTTTGTTAAATTAAATAGTTTCAATGTTCATAAATCATTCTTATTGATCAGATGCTGGAAAATATATCGATAAGCTGTTGTCCTTTAAACAATAAGGTATTCAATACGTGTTATACTCAAGCTTATTTGAAAAGATGCAAATTCATCGAGGTACTCAAATTAAATATACAAATATATTTTATCATTGTAGAAGAAAAAATATTTTTAGTGACAAAAATAAATCTTGAAAATGTATTTATATTCAACATCGCCGCCGCGTGTCACAGTGGTAGACCCGTCTGTAGAGTCGTGGCGGAAGCAGTTGATATTTAATTTAGTCGCGTGTTTAAAGGTACTTGGACACAGATTTGAAGTTAATTTTTTTCTGTATAATATCACGAATTATATATTTTAATAGCATTTCACACAAAAATTAATTAAAAATCTTATTTCATTTAAAAGTTATAAAAACTTTTAATTGTTTTGGCGGGTTTGATTGACACATTCTTTCACCAACACAAATTTTAACTTTATTCTTTATCCTTAGAAAAAGTGGCAATCTTGTTGTTTTGAGTTTTAGAATGTTAACGTATTAGTTCATATTTCTAAATTTTAGAAACTCAAACTCATTTGGTGTATTGAAATTCAATATTTAAGTTCAAAAATCTAAAATTTCATATTTCCAAACAGGTTTTGAAATTTTGATATTTTAGATTTTCACCTTAAAAGATCAAAATTCAAATTTCCAAAAACGAATTTTGTAATTTAAACAATTGAGTTTTTGTCTACCGATTGTTCAGAAAGTTTACACTTAACAATCTATAGTTCAGTAATATTTTTTGTCTTTTGATTATTTGAAATTAGCTTCAAACTTCTAAAATTCAACTTTGAAACGTTTTAGATTTTCAGAATTTTGGAAGTTTGATTCAAATATTCTAATTTCAAATAACCTAAACATTTTGAGTTTTATAATTTTACTTTAACAATCCAAAATATCTAATTTGTAAACCCGATTTGAATTTTGAATATCAGTTCAATATTTTAACTATCTTAAAGCTCTTTTGCTTAACCAAAAGTATTTTTGTAAAAGTTTCAAAATTCAAACCAGGTTTGGAATTTGATATTTTGGATATTTGAAGTATATATCTAAAAACTCCAAGTGTTTGGTTATTTGCGACTTGGATGTCTGAATCAAAATTCTAAACTTCAAAAAGTTTTAAACGTTTTGAAAGTTTAAATTTAGAAGTTTGAAGTAAATTTTGAAATATTCAAAGTCGTAAAACTGTACTGAACTTAGATTGTTAAGCGTAAACTTTTTAAATAAACGGTAGATTAAGACTCAAATGTTTTCAAACACAAAACTTGTTTTTGGAAATTTGAATTTTGAATGTTTAAGGTAAAATTCTAAGAACCTGTTTGGAAATTTGAAATTTTAGGTTTTTGAACTAAAATATTAAATTCCAATATACGAAATCAGTTTGAGGTTTTGAAATGAATAAAAAATTCACAAAAGGGACGTTAAACAACAAAGAAACAAATCCAAATGTAGGATGATTTTCTATGATAAAGGAATGAGTGTTGCTACGCAGCCGCAATAGTACATATCTACTGTTAACGATGAAACATGGGGTTAACGAAAAGTGTTCAAGATCAGAAATCCATAAAACAATACAAAATAGGAGCAGAACAAACACGGACCTCCGAAATATCAGAGGTAACATCAGGTGCCATGGAGGATATAGCATACCCTGCCGACCGGCCACACCCGCTGTGTGAGCCTTATCATTACGAAGATTTCCGATACGTGTTGCAAGGCCACAGTGGCTAAACAGAAGCCCCTTGTTACTCTATAGACCCTTTGCTATAAAGTTACAAACAAACTTGTTTATACAAGGCAACTAGTTTTGCAAGGTATCGGTCAATTGACGATGTTCTATTCCAGCTCCTCGCTTTCAGCAGTTCTAGAATTTAGCATTCGTTAGGGGATTTTCTTCCTCGTTTCTCAAAATTTCGCAAAATTTGGAGTCTGTTTACATGTTAAACTCGAGTCTTTCCACGTGGCCCGCAACTCACTTTGTATGTAATTTTAGTTGTTACTTTGTCTGTAACTTCATATGGACCTCGCCAGTAGCTCGTGAAATTTGAAGGCAGCCCAAATTTCTGCAAAGGGAATTAGACATAGACTTGGTCTCCCTTACTGAACCTTTGCCATGAGACCCGATCATGCTATTTCTTTTGCCGGACCATTAGTTTTCTTGATATACTCTCTGACAAAGTAATGAGTTGCCAAAGTCATTTGTTTTTGGTATGCACTTTTCTGCGTTTCTCATATCATACATCATTTAAAGAGGCGTACGTAGATACCTCTTTTTTGAGCATCATGTAATTTGGCGTAAAACCAGTGGTTTCATGTACTGATGCCCGGGATGCCATCATTACATACGAAAAGTAACTGTACCAGTCAGAGTGGTGCTTATTTACATATGCACTCAACATTGTGGTGAACGTTGTATTAAAGCGCTGGACCATCCCGTCACTTTGAAGGTGATACAAAATGGTACGAGTCATCTTTATTTGTAACACACGATACATCTCAGAGAAAAGTTCACTTTCATATTGGCCTCCTTGATTGGAATGAATACTGGACGGCACACCAGATCTTAACACTACATCCTCTACGATTATTCTTGCAACTTAGATGCCTCCATGTTAGCCATTAGAAAACCCATTTGGTAAATTTAACAGAGACAACAGGTTTATATTTGTTGCCATTTCTAGTTACAAGTACCTCAACAAAGATATCTATTGTAATTCTATTCATTGGTAATCTGCCTTCTGCAAGTGTCATCGGGGCCTTCTTTCGGGATTCTTTCGTCTGGAGCACGACTGACACCCTGCTATATAGGTTTTTGTATCTGTCTGTAAACCTGGCCAGTACCACTTCAGACGAATTTGTGCAAGTGTTTTGGTTATGCCCAAATGACCAACAGTCTTCAAGTCATCAAGTCATGGCAATGTTGGAGAAACATTCTACGCTCTATTGCTGGTACTATGGCCTGCAGGCTAAAAAATTCCTTTCCTTGTACTTTCTTTGCAAGACATTTTCAAAATAAGGATACTTCATTGAGACCAAAGAGATCTTGCAAAATATCCTAAGACAAATATCTCATTGTAGTCAGGTCATCTTTTCTCATCAAACCACTTTTGACAATCTTCAAGTCACTGTCCTGATGTTTAAAATCTTTTCTCTTACAGTATGGCTCTTCAAAAGCACTTGCTTTTGCTGCATTGCAAACGGTTGCCTCTTTGTCTCGTTCATATCCACACATGTGCTCAGGGCATGAGATTTCCATGTTGAAAGCCCTGGCGATACTGAAAATGGAATTTCAAAGCACTGAGTATTTCAAGGCCCCTAGCCATCTGGCCCTCTGGAATCTTAAACTTAACAACCATCTCAGTGACCTATGGTCACTGGCGACAAGAACTCTTTACCGTAAAGGTAGTGCTTGAAACACTTTACAAAGTAGAGAGAGAAGTTCTTTCTTTGTCATACAATACTTTCGCTTACATTTGGTTAGTATCCTGCTTGAATATACTACAACTCGCTCACTGCCATATATGCTTTGTGACAACACTGCTGCAATGACCTGATATCTCTAATTTGTGTCTTATAACGGGTGTATAGAATGTTCATTCCACATTTTTCTTTTAATTTTAAAAAGAAAAATACGATGAGAAGATATCTACAATTTGTGATATTTCATGTTTATAAAGTCCATTCTTGCCACTGATTACGTTTTAACTGTTATATGTTTTATCAATAAGGAGAGGACATGTATTAAAACAGATGATGTCTGTGCAGAAAAAAATAAGGAATGTCGCATATTTGTGACATATATTAAGCACACAGGCCAAAACATCCTTTCAAATACGAAAAATTCAAAAATGGCAAACCTATTTTTTGAAAAGTGATCCATTGATCTTTTGCCTACACTCATTAGCTTGTCTGATAAAAGATAAGCTATGAAAAAACAAAAGTAAATTATCCTTTATTTTCACTCAAAATTAGAAAATGAACGAGACTTACCTGTAAGTTGAAGTTTGATTGAGATTCTGTTACGTCATCAGGATACCAGGGGGATTACGTGAGATAGCATTACGTCTGCGTAATAGGGTCAGCCTTTAAAAAAAACGCAACTTGACTCATCAGGAACCACACCCACATCCCCAAAACTGGGTGGGACTAAATGGGTGGGCATGTAATCCCTTTGGTATCTTGATGACGTAACATAACATGATAGTATATGAACATAGCTTTCCTGTCCCTGTAGTTCCCGAGAAGAAGATTTTAAAGCATTTTTCCTCTATATTACTTTGTAAAATTTGGGTTTCCCATTGTAACCTCGCCAAATTCCTGAGGGTAATAATTTGAACAATTTAGAAGCTACACTACATTAGAATTCTCCTACATAGGTTTCAGCTTTTCTGGCCCAGTGGTTCTTGCCAAGAGGATTTTAAAATGATCCCATCCTATTTTTTTCTTGATTAACTCCCCTTTTGAGGAGACTTGGTTCTTCATTTTAACAATTTAAACTTCTCTTCTCCCAAGGATGCTTTGTACCAAGTTTGGTTAAAATTGGCCCACTGGTTCTCGAGAAGAAGTCGAAAATGTTTACAGACGGACGGACGACGGACAAAATGTTATCAGAAAAACTTATTTGAGCTTTCGGCTTTTATGTGAGCTGAAAAGTACAGTCGAGTTGTGGCGGCACTTATTACTATGTGTTTGTATGTATAAGTTTAAACATGTATATATTTTTCAATTTAGGTTTTCTGAATTCACCTGTTTATGTCCGAGTAAATATATATATAATCAAACACTGGTGCTATGGGTTTTGTATACTGATGCATCAATAATCATTGGGATCATTTATTTGGTTACCATAGCAACTGTTTTTTTTTCTACTTTTTATATTCTTCATCCTTTGATATTCTTCGTACGATTTAAAAAAAAACCTTTGAAAATCCTTTGAACGACTTCGTTTGTACGACTGAGAAATTATTTTGTACAATTTAGATTTTTTTTTTAGGTTCGATATGCAAATATCTTCAAAAACACTTTTTGGGACGCTCTCTCTCTCTCTCTCTCTCTCTCTCTCTCTCTCTCTCTCTCTCTCTCTCATGTACTCATCCTCACCCTCATATACCTATACAGTGTACAGACATACAGAGATAAAAAGAAAATGAATTACTTCCTCTGACTTCCAAAAAGACAGCTTTACTTGTACACCACCCTTCAGCAATCCTTACTTCAAGACCGTAATAGCCTGTGTCGTCAATATCTGCATCATGTATCACAAGTTTGGGGGTTGGTAAAAGTTTGCTTTCTTGAAACCTTTCTTCTGATTTATTGACGTATTTTAGATAACGGCGATAATAAGAATAACTGTGATAATAGTAAGAGTTCTCGATGTAGTATCTGTTTTGACTGTATATCCATCTCGCCTCTAGAATAGGTTCCAATTTAGCTTCCTCCACCACAGCAAATGTCGCTCTTTTCCCGGCATCGATGTGAAGATTGGATGGTGTAAGAAGTAAAAAAGGGCATTCTGGAAAAAATATCATACTTGCATGTACGACAAGTACATGTATTAGGTACGTATTTGATAGAAACTACATGCAATGCATCTACGAACAGTTTGTCAAGTTTTAAATACTAATATATATTAAAGCAAATCAAGCTCTTTTATGAGGTCGATGCATAGAAATATCGACTTGACAGAAAAGCATATCGACGGAACACAAAGTGGACAAATATTTGTATCATTTTTATCTTGAAACGCAGAGACGTTTATTGTCAACATTTAATAAGCGGAGGGGGGGGGGGGGTAAAAACAAATTAAAGAAAAGTAAAGAAAAACATTTCAAAAGGTTACCTTTGACATCGGCAAAAGTCATTGGTGTTGTCAAAGCATGTTGACAATATGATACTCCAGCACCAAATATGAGACAAAAAAATACATGTAAGTGAATGGAAAAATCACCAAACATGTCACTTTTTACTGCAAGTGGTTTTCCTCCAATGCGCGAGTTTGAGATGCACGTTCAACCTCTGTCTATGGAAATAAAACAAATACACACTTTGAAAGATTTTTTGAGAGAATTCACGATATTTTTAACCATCTGGCTGCGGGAAGGACATATATGTCCCTGGCGGCAGCATAACTTTTGAGACGGCTTTTCTTTATTATAAAAATGATATTTGACTGCATTTTTCGCTGAATAAAGGTTGTACAAAACCCCCCCATGAATTCTATTGTAACTAGTTTCTTTAAAAGTACAGGAAAAAGAAAGAGAGTAATATTACTATATTTACCATAATGAATGACCCTTGTAAGAAAGATAATAAGTTGTGGCATGTTTTCATCATACTTTAATTTAAAAAATCCATAGAATCCTAAGTATTGGTCTCTTAGGAGCTTACATTTTAAAATGTGTTTGCGCTTTCTAAATGCAGTAAACAAGCATGTAATAGTCTGTTATCAAATACAGTGTAACTTTTGTTCCACAAATAGAGGACTGATATTTGGACACATATAGAGTCCTTATGAACTTTAAAAGTCAAGGTCTTATCAAGAGGTCAAAGGTCAAATGTTGTGATGTGATCTACTGAATCTCTTTTTTGCAATTGAAATCTTTTTTATCGCCAAACTGAAACCACTGGTACGGAAGCCCGTTGAGGCCAGTTCAGTGAAAGAAATATTTTCTATTGCGTTTAATCGCAATAACTACTGTGTTTAAACGCAATATTATTTTTGCATTTAATCGCAATAATTTTTGCATATGAATATTTATTGGGAAAAATGAATTTATTGAATATTTTATTTAATATTAATCATCATATGTAAAAATGACTCCCATTTCTTGAAAAACAAATTTATACTTACAAATTAACAAGTTTTGCAAATAAACTCTGAAACAACTGCACAAGAGTTCTTACTTAAGCCTGTAGGAATACACTAGGTATATAAGATGATGTCCGTAAACTATATTCATATTTCACTTGCATAGTAATTACCGTCTTCCTTGGAAGACGGTATATGTATAGTTGAAGTTTTTTACGGTCTTCGGACTATGCACTTCCTCTCTTTTATGATTGGTAGAAAATGCATGATGAGAAAATTTTCAATTATTTCATTGGTTGAAATGCTGTTCAATGTAATGGAGATATCTTTCTAATGATCTAATTTTCGTACGACTTAACAATTTTGCAAGATTTTCAATCTTAAAAAAATGACAAAACGAACAACAACATCGGCAGTGATTAATTCCTAATAACATGATTTTTTGAATAGCAATAGATAAAAAGATTTCTTTAATTTCATTATAAATAAAATTTGATTTTTATTGCTTGCAGGCTTTACAATTTGTTATTATTCTTTTCCCCTTTCTTGTTTGAAGAAGGGAATGGAATCAGCCGAGGTTTGCCGAAAGCTCTCGGCCAGTCAAAGTTTACGGAGATGACCGAGCAACAACCGTGGTAGGGCTAATGCCAGTAAAAAGCTAATGTAGAAATACAAAATCAAGAAATTCAAAAGAATTATACGGCCCGATAGGTGTAGATCAGTTTAGTGTTTAAGATTGTTGCTAAAGACGGTAAGCTTTTTTAAAAAGCTCTACTTGTTATCGTAAATTTAATTAAAAGTCTACTTTCACTTTCGGTTAACAGCCTCGAAATAGCACTAAAGAGAGTAAAGTGGCGGATCTAAGTAACTGGCATTTAAAAAAAAACTGACTACAAGCAAGTGCTTATTAATTTCATAAAACGCCATTAATGAATTATTCAATCAAAACTTGATTTAAGTGATATAAAAGAAATAAGCTCTGATCATTGATTAAAAAACAAAGGGCGCGCTTGGTTTGTCTACACCTTACTACACCCGGTGTAGACAATTTACACCTTATAATCAAGTGAAATTAGGTGCAGCGTAGCAAATTCAACATGGGCGTCAAAATTTCAACCAGCTGAGGGGATCCTATTTGCGGACGATTTTTTAATAAAATAGTTGTTGTGATTGTGAGCATTTCTTAAAATCCATTTAAAACAAAACAAAATTATGAAAAGGCAAAGATTTTTTTTATAAAATTTTCCTAGCTACCCATAATTACCCTTATAACTAAATATCTAGCCATAGTCAAATATATCTAGAGACTTTATCACCCAAAGATGCAAAACTTGCGTATTTCTTATATTACAAATTATGAAGTTTTTCATTTTCCATAAAATGCACAAAACATGGTCCACTATATCACTAAAAACAAATTCATCACGATCAACATATCAAATACTTGACAGTAAACTAAAATACTGGAAAAGAAATTCTGCAGTTTTACCGTCTTGTCATTTGTCAGCCATATTGAATTTTCGGTGTAATTACCTACACATATCCTGCACAGAGTGTAGATGGTGTACACCTAAAGTGTACACTTTTGCACTTGATTATTGAAAAGTGTACACCGAGTGTAAGGTGTAGACAAATCAAGCGCGCCCAAAATGTGCAAATCCTTTCCGTTTATGTCCGATCTCGCTATTTGTTGAAAGTTCTAGAAAGTCAAGTGACATCGATCCCGATTTAAAAAAAAAAATCGAGGCGATTGTTTATCATGAATTGACATGGAAATAAATGTAAAGAAATTGGTAACACAGTGAGTTTGTGAATATATCTTAGTAAGTTGTGCAAATGTTTTATAAAAAAAAAATGTCGATGAATGGCCATGTTTATTTGTTTAGACATATAAAATGATACAAGTTTGACTTTTAGATATTTTGATGTGTTCTTTGATGAATATTCTACATTCAATATTAAAAAAAAAATTATATATACCTTTTATGCCCGTATGTTTATATATACCTTTTATGCCCGTATTTACATATGGGATGAAAACAAATGAAAGCTTTTTTTCAATATTTTAAAATGCTGACAAATATATGAAAATTATAGTTAGTTGTGTACATTGATTCTCTTATCCTTGACGTAAATGGAAACAGATCATCTGAAGTATAATAAGCAATAATATTAAAATAAAGTTTCTAACATATAAAGAGAAAATGCCATTGAGCACCTGTAGCACATAATGTATAAGATAGTGCAACCAAGGGCGGGTCCAGATTTTTTTTTCCAAAGGGGGGGGGGGGGTCCATCCCAGTCAAAAAAAAAATTCTATTCCAGAAATTTCTTTACAAGCAGAAAAAAAGAACCTATTTCGTGTAGTGGATGACTGTCAATGATTCTAATGACTTTCATACCAATATATATATATATATATATATATATATATATATACGTTGATAAGTTAAATTCTTGGTACAGTAAAAAATACTTAAATAAATAAAAACAGAATGCTGCAGTCCAAATTAAATAAAATCTTTACTGTTAGCGCTTTCAGCCATGTTGGCTCTTCAGACAGTTATAAAAAATTCAAAACGTTGTCAATAACGTTGCTAATGACGTCGTGAAAATTTAAGTCATTATGACGTCACAATGTAGTTTGTGGTAGCGGCTGCATGAACTTTTTCAACGCAGTTAAAGAATGTATAATTAAAGCATAGAAATAAAATAAATTTTGTGAATTATACATAATCTCATTTGCAATTCAGTTTTGGTTTAAAAAGTCTTATAAAATAGTCCTCTTTAGTAACACGGGCGATTTCATCCGATGTCCACATTTTGTAGAACGGGAAAATCTTAAATTTCCCTTTACCACATTCGGCGAAATGTTCTGAACAAGGGGTGCATCTGACAGTTTCGTCCCGTATATGTTGCTTGTGTACCCTTACTCGTGCGTTAAGCTGATTTGTCTGCCCTATATAATATTCGCCACAGGTTGGGCATATTGCACAATAAATCAAATTTGAAGATTTACAATTCATGCTAGTATTAGGTTTTAAAACTTTCCCGTTTTTAAGTGTAATTTGTTCGCCTTCCTGTATGAAATCACACGTTCCACATCGGGGGTCACTACACTTTCTGACGACACTCTGGTTGCTAGAGGAAAATTTTGCTTTGGTTAATATCCTCTTCAGGTTTGGTGCTTGTCTCCTGCTGTTAATAATTGATGATTTGTCCAGAAGATTTTTCATGTTTTCAGATTGTTCTAATATTGGAAAAAATCGCTTTGCTGAATTGAGAATATTGTGGTTACGGGGGTTGTGAGTTATCACAAATGGAATATTCTCTTCGTCGTTTTCCTCTGGATGGCGAATATTTCGTAATTGGGTTATAGGTATGTCTTTTGCCCGGTTGATTCCGTCCTCAATAAGGTTCATTGGGTAATTTTGTCGCGTCAGGTGTTGTTTTAGTTCTTGAAGTCTTTTCAAGCGTAGAGAAGAATCGGTCACGATTGTACAAATACGTCTCGCCATATTGTATGGAATGTTCCTTTTTGTATGTGACGGATGGCAAGAGCGAAAGTCCAAATATTGATGGGTATCTGTTTCTTTACAGAATAGGTCTGTAGAAATATCCTCTCCGTTTTTTATTAAAAGTATATCAAGGAAAGGAAGCGAGTTACGATTCATGTCACTTGTGAAATTAATTGAATCGTGTAACTCATTTATGACCGAATGGAATTTTGTAAGATCCTCTTCACTCTTTGTCCAAAAGATGAAGCAATCATCCAAGTACCTTTTCCAGTTCTCTTTAATGTACTGCGTAAATTCTAGATCAAATGTTTCCGGCAAAATGTTGTAAAGTTTTTCTTCTAAAAATCCCATTACTAAACAGGCATATGTAGGGGCGACTTTGGTGCCCATGGCAGTACCTTTGATTTGTAGATAATTTTCATCATCAAACTGAAAATTATTATTCTCTAGTACAATTCTAAGTCCTTCTAAAATGAAGTTTGCGGGGAATCTATCGTCGATTTCTTCCGGATACTTATCCAACCAATATTTGATCGCTTCAATTCCTAACTCATGCGTAATATTAGTGTACAAGCTGGTAACATCAAAACTAACAAGTAATGTTTCTCTTGGTACTGTTTGTGGAATATAGTTGAGGAAATCCATATCATCACGCACATAACTGGTACTAAAGAGGACTATTTTATAAGACTTTTTAAACCAAAACTGAATTGCAAATGAGATTATGTATAATTCACAAAATTTATTTTATTTCTATGCTTTAATTATACATTCTTTAACTGCGTTGAAAAAGTTCATGCAGCCGCTACCACAAACTACATTGTGACGTCATAATGACTTAAATTTTCACGACGTCATTAGCAACGTTATTGACAACGTTTTGAATTTTTTATAACTGTCTGAAGAGCCAACATGGCTGAAAGCGCTAACAGTAAAGATTTTATTTAATTTGGACTGCAGCATTCTGTTTTTATTTATTTAAGTATATATATATATATATATATATATATATATATATATATATATATATATATACAGTGGCGTAGCATCGTTTTTGAACGTGGGGGGGGGGGGCCAGCCAGAGAAAATTTTTTTTTTACATACCTGAAAAAGTTGACAAGCAAAAAAAAAAAAAAAGAAAAGAAAAGTTGCCCAAAGTCGAAAGTCCTATTTCGGGGGGGGGGGGGGAGGTTTGGGGGGTTGGAGGTAAACTTTTTCTCACTGTCAACTACTTTTAGTACCAATTCTAATGCTACATTTTTGGTACATCACTAAAAGTGGGGGGGGGGGGTCAACCAGGCTTTCAATTAACATTTCCTATAGGTTGGTCTTTTTTAAGGATTTTTAAAGATTTGTCATATATAATTCTATGAAAAAAATTGGATTCCCTTTTGTGGCCCCGCCCTGCCCCCAAATGTCATGTTTATAACAATTTAAAATCTACACTAATCAAGAATGCTTCTATATAAGTTTCAGTTCCACTGGTTCTTGAGAAGAAGATTTTTTCTGTATTTCTATGTAAAACTTAGATTCCCTATAAGAAATATTGAGGCCCCGTCCTAACCCCCCCCCCCCCCGTCATGATTTTTACAGTTTTAAATGTAGACTACGCAAGAATGCTTCCACAGAAGTTTCAGCTTTTCTGGCCCATTGGTTCTAGAGTAGAAGATTTTATAATGACCCCACCCTATTCTTGTCTTTTCTTGATTATCTTCCCTCGTAAGGGGACTTGGTCCTTCATTTTAACAATTTTTATTTCCCTTTAGTTACCCAAGAATGCTTTTTACCAAGTTTGGTTAAAAATTGGTCCAGTGGTTCTTGAGAAATGGAAAATGTGAAAAGCTTACAGACGGACGGACAGACGGACGACAGACAAAATGTGATCAGAAAAGCTCACTTGGGCTTTCGGCTCAGTGAGTTAAATATGAAACACTTCACATGCAATCAGTCAGTAAGATATGAAAATACGGCCCCGGGGGTGGGGATGGCCTTCCTATGCTCTAAATACAGAGAAAAACTTATTAATTCCTCAAAAAGGGACAAATCGAATACTGCAATATTACCTCTTGTAGTAGTGGAGTGGGCTCATATAGACCACGGTTTGAATTTCGCGCGCAATGACGTCATTAAACTTTCGACCAATCAGAAGGCAGCATTTGAATTTTGGTCACGTGACCCCATTTTGGAAGGCGGGAAAATCGGATTTTTGAAACACCTATGTTTAGCCCTGGGGTCAAATTCAAAAAGGTAACCAAAGAGTATCGTGTGCCTCATCACATGGAAGGTCTTGACAAGTAGGGGTCATCTAGTGCAAAAAACAAAAAGATACCCGAAGGGTATCATGGGACACATCAATTTGAAGGTCTCGACGAGTAGAGTTTAGCCCAGGGGTGTTCTGAGGTCATCAAGTGCAAAATCAACAAGTTACTCAAAAGGTATCGTGTGACATATTAAATGGAAGGTCTCGATGAGTAGAGTTCAGCCCGGGGGTGTTCCGGGGTCATCAAGTGCAAAAATCAAAAGGTTACCCAAAGGGTATCATGCAACTTATCAAATGGAAAGTCTCGACGAGTAGAGATCAGCCCGAGGGTATTCCGGGGTCATTAAGTGGAAAAAAAGAAATAAAAAAGTTTCCTCAGAGGTATCATGTTACATATCAAAAGGAAGGTCTTCAAGAGTAGATTTCGATCAGGAGTGTAAACCCCTCCTCCCCTTCCCTCAACTCAACACTTTGTTCTAGTAATAATGATCAATTACTACCTCATTCATAAATAATATAACCGTGCACAATACATAAAGGGGATTCTTGTAGCCCTTACTGGGAATTTTCCGTGACGTAAACATTGAAATTATCTTCGTCTTCAAACAACAAAGGTGACTTAAGATTCTATTAAAAATTCATTTTGAATAGATTTTTACTCGACCGAAATACTATGAGGTAGAGATATGTTTATTTCCATACCTCGCAACGGAGGTAAACAGGTAGAAACATGCCTCAATGAACTTTGGCATTTAAATGCCTGCATTTAATCCGTAAAAAGAAGTATACACCATAGGTAAATATAAAGATTTTTCTAGAGAGAGAATCATTCAATTGAAAAAAAAGACCACAGGTCAAAACACGTATATATTTACAAACCATGACCGAAATAACAGGTAGAGACATGTCTCAATGAAGCGGAGCATTTAAATATCTAGTGTATTCACACACCGTAAATTAAAAGTTCATTATCTCCACCAGTTATAACAATCCTGGCACAATCATGCGTAAAAGTACATTGTAAGAAAGGGAAGTGAAATACAGTTTTGAAATTCGGTTATATAAGCCTTCTGCCTAATCACGCCAAACATAAGGTGCCTGTGATTAATAAAATGTAACAAAGTTTTTCCTTTACGCTTGGATGGTGCATCAATCATTTATCTATAGTTATACATGTCTCAACACGTCCAGTCCATTTCGATCTGTCATCCGTCTAAAGTACAATTCGTCCTAGTTTTCGGAAAGGGTATTCAATAGATAATCGCTCAAGTGAGACGGTCGTAAGGTTCAACGCGACCTAGATTTTTACAGGGGGGAGAATACAATAGCTAATCTCTCAATAGAGATACAGGTGACCGAATTTTGTGAAAGAAACGACGACAAAAGATGATAAAGAATAAAACTATCGATGGAGGCAATGAGGGTGCACGAAAGGTTAAAAATGAATTGATAGAGTGATTATATGTGTACAATTACTAGGGTAGCCAATAAAAATGAGTTTAATTGATATGTTTCTATGGAAACAAAATGTGATTTTCGGTATGTATGACAAGTCACAATAAAGAGGTCCACTACAGGAGGAATTAAAATAAAATAATACTTTTAATGATCATAAAGTAACCAATCGTTTCACTTGTTTTTTGTTTGTTTCCATGACGACTTTAGAATGATATATAAGTTTCGGAATCTGGATACTGGTGTGTCATAAATCATACAGCACCCTAACGAGTAACATCGGGAAATCAACACGGTTGCTATTTAATTCTTTGGGATTTAATTTCTTTCTAAGGTAAGAAATCTATATATATTTTAGATAAATATTAAATTGGAAAATATAGTGATTCTTAATTTTACACTTGATTTGATGAAATATTACAGGTTTAAACTTGTTTATTCATGTTGTTGTCTAGTATCCATTCATGATCTCGAGATCATGAATGGATACTAGACAACAACATGAGCTTTTGTAAACACTACGATCGTAGTGTTTACAAAAGCTCGGTAGAGTAAGCAAGGAATTAACTACAAATCTCGTTCCCACGTGACCTTTTAAAAATATTCGACCTGTCACACAATTCGATATACTCTTTATTATATATTATATATATCCTAAAATTCAGCAAGCTTGTCTAAGACTCTTAGAGAGAAAATCTTTATTTACAAACAATATATTCTAAAATGTGAAAAAGAAATAAATTTCAAATAAAAGACTGTTGTTATAGTATAGTACTTAACGGACTTTGAATCAAAGAGTACGTACTACTAATGCAGTTTACATAAAAATATATATATTGTAGAATATGGAAGCATACAGATGTGACGTTTGCGGGAAAAGGTTTGCAAGGGAAGGTAATCTTGCGCAACATAGAAAAAAGCACGGTCTGTATCAATGTTCAGATTGTCCTCAGGCCTTTACAACAGAGAATAATTTAGAACTGCATCGTTATCACCGTCATGGTCAGTCCGGAAGAGGGAAAAAGAGGACAAACGAATCTCCTCAATCCGGACCTTCAATGAAAAGACGAATTACCAGGATGGATGACCCTACAGTAAACTACAGAGTTACGCCACTTTGTGAACAAAAAATGCGGAAATTTAACACCACGGCAAACAGATATCCAGTGCACTTTCAAGACCTGGATATTAGGTATCTACCTAATATTCTACAAAGTCTTCGTCGCCTCTTTTCTTCGGTGATAAAAGATTTGACAGGTATAAATACCTTCAATATCTATGGATGTTGCACTGGTAAATTAGATTTTAAGCAACACATTCTTAAACACCTTTTAACAAGGCTGGATAATAAAACATACCTTTTCATCCAACATTTGTTAACTCCATATCCTTCTTGTTATAGATGGCTGATATCCCATCTTCTCCCTCTTAAATAAATGCATCAGGTAAATATCTAGTGATATTTTTTAAACAGGATTCATGGACTCCGGAGACTTAATTCGCTTAACTGTCCAGTGTCCTGAGCTGGATTACCCCATAAGTCTACCCTTCATGCGGGTAGCGCAGCTATCAGCGGATCGTCTTCTCACCGAAATCGAACGAGTTCTTCAGTCTTATGAGGAATTTGTTGTCGATCAGTCGTTAGAAATGGAAGTGATCCATGTCAAACTGCCCTCAGGGAAAGGGCATAAAAAGAAATGCTTTGTTGATTTGGAACGAGAATTGACAAAGAAAAAATGTTTCATCCGCATTAAAAACAAGGATGATTTGTGCTGTGCTCGGGCCATTATTACGGCCAGAGCTAAACTTGACAAGGACCAAAGATGGAACTCAATTCGACAGGGTCGAAACATACAGAGAACTCTAGCAGAAGAATTACATAAACTTGCCAATGTACCTCCAGGGCAGTGCGATTTAGAGGACGTGAAGGCCTTTCAGTCAGTGTTACCTGGATACCAGATCCACGTTCTTTCCAAAGATTGCTTCAACGCCATCGTGTACCAAGGCCCAGAGGCAGAGAAGAAGATCTACTTGTATCATCACAAGAATCATTATGATGTTATCACTACGATGTCGGGGTTCTTGAACAGAAGTTATTTTTGCCAGAAATGCCAGAAAGGATTTAATACCAAAGAAAAGCATATCTGCAATGAGCCATGCCATCTATGTCACAGATGCCACGACGACCAATCAGAAAACTGGCAGTATTGTTCCACGTGCAAACGTCATTTCAAGAATACTACCTGTTTCCAACTTCACGCTGAATTGTCCTCCCAAGGCAATTCCACGTGTCATACATACTATCGTTGCCGCCAGTGCTCCACCACAGTAAACAGAAACAAATCGAGACAACCGCACGTGTGTGGAAACAAATACTGTGACACTTGCAAAATGTTTATGTCCGAAGATCACGTGTGTTACATGAAAACCACGGCAGAGGAAGAAGAAACGAAGCTGTTGAAAAGAAAACGGAATGTAACGGTCGATGAAGACGACGAACAACTCAAACAGTGGATATTTTTCGATTTTGAATGCACACAGGATGACATGATCCAGTGTGATGGGGGCTATTTTCCCCAGATATCCATCAAGTGTGGAAATTGCCATCGCAAAAACTGTCACTCGAATCCGTGCGAACAGGGCTTTGTTCCAAGGAAAATCACTTCTTGCAAAAATTGCAACCAATCGTCGTGTGGTTCATATCGACACGTGCCCAATTTATGCGTGGTTCATAAAGTGTGCGAAGAATGCATTGACGAAGACGAGATCAACGAGCATAGCTACTCTTCATCATGCCAATACAAGCAACGCATTTTCAATAGTCCAAACACACGTGACGATTTCTGTAAATGGTTATTCTCGGACGAAAACGAAGGAGCCAAAATCTTCTGTCATAACTTTCGATGGTACGATAGCTATCCCATCGTCAGTTACTTGTACGAGAACGCCATCTTGCCTGAAGTCATCATGAACGGATCCAAATTCATGAGCATCGAGATACCTCGTCTCAAAATGAAATTCCTGGATTCAATGAATTTCATACCCATGGCTCTCTCAAAGATGCCAAAGGCGTTTGACATACCTGAAGTCGCCAAGGGCTATTTTCCACACCTATACAATCGAAAAGAAAATCAGAGGGTTATCGTGAATCACCTACCAGACGTACAGTTTTATAATGCAGATGGTATGATGCCCGATGATCGCACCAAGTTTCTTCAATGGTACAAAGAACATCAACACGATAGTTTTGATTTTCAGAAAGAAATAATCAAATATTGTCGGTCTGACGTCGATATCCTCAGGCGAGGGTGTCTCAAATTCCGCGACATCTTCATGGACATGACGTCAAGAGATGATCGGGACGGTGTTGACCCTTTCGAACGCTGCATCACCATTGCCTCGGATTGTAATCTGGTATTTCGCAGTCTCTTTTTGGAAAGAGAGTCTATCGGCATTATACCACCCCAAGGGTATCGACCGAAAGACAGACAGTCCGTCAAGGCCATGCAGTGGATAAAATACCATGCTCATCAAACAAACATAGATATTCAACATGCAGGCAACGTAGGGGAAAAAGCGATTGGTCCGTACAGAGTTGATGGATACTATGAAATAGGGAATCAGAAAATAGTGATGGAATTCCATGGTGATTATTGGCACGGTAACCCCAAATGCTATTCTGCCAACACCCTCAATAAAGTCGTGGGAATGACCATGGGAGACCTCTATCAGAGAACCTTGGTAAAGAGAAGGTACTTGGAATCTTTGGGATATACTTACCTGCAGATGTGGGAGTCTGATTTTGACCGGGCTGTAGAGTCCACAGACGAAATGAAGTCTTTTTTAGAGCACCTAGAGTTAACCTCGCCCTTACAACCTAGAGATGCTTTTTTCGGCGGTAGAACCGAAGCCTTTAAACTGCATGCCCAGGCAGATGAAAACATTGATATCAAATATTTTGATGTGACTTCACTCTATCCCTTCATCAATAAAACGGGCAAGATTCCATTGGGACGCCCCCAGATCGTGACCGAAAATTTCGATCTTCTTCAAAACTACGAAGGCCTCATCAAATGCCGCATCCTTCCCCCAAAGCATCTATACATGCCAGTCCTTCCATCGAAAATCAACAATAAGCTCCTGTTTGGCCTCTGTCGAACGTGCATGGAGAAACAAATACAGACCTGTGAGCACACCGACCGGGAAAGGATGATTTCTGGAACCTGGGTCACCGACGAGGTCAAAAAAAGCCGTAGAAATGGGTTATGTAATGGACAAGATTTTCGAAGTGTGGCATTTCGATCGCATATCACAGTACGATGCACAAACAAAATCGGGCGGGGCATTCACTGACTACGTCAATACATTCCTCAAAACGAAGCAAGAGGCATCCGGTTGGCCAAAATGGTGTCAAACAGAAGAAGACAGATGCAAGTACATAGAAGAATACCACCAAAGAGAAGGAATTTGTCTCAAATATCATAACATCGTAACGAACCCAGGTCTCAGATCGCTCGCCAAATTGATGCTCAATAGTTTTGGGGTAAATTTGGTCAGCGAGAAAACATGCCCAAAACAACTTATGTGACTGATCCCTGTGAATATTTCGATATGTTGACTAGCAATCACCAACAGGTCAAAGACGTCAGTTATGTGTCCGAAGAGATGGTACGACTCCAGTGGGTCTTAGACGACGATTTCGTGGAGACCAGCGGTCGAACCAACGTTGTCATCGCAGCGTACACTACGGCACAGGCCCGTTTAAAATTATACTCCTATCTGGAAAAATTAGGTGACCGGACTATATATGCTGACACAGATTCTGTCATCTTCATTGCACGGTCTGGGGAATGGTCACCACCTCTGGGTGATTACTTGGGGGACATGACAGACGAGACCCCCGGAATGAAAATCCTTTCCTTTGTCACCGGCGGACCGAAAAATTATGCGTATACCGCCCAAGACCAAGATGGGAAGATAAGTACGTGTTGCAAAGTTAAAGGCATCACACTGAATTACAAGAACAGTTTGGATATCAACTTTGATACCATCAGAAATATGCTCACTACCAACGAAGCGTCTGTCGTCACGGTCCGAAACGATTATAAAATTGCCCGAGATTCCAAAACCACAGAAATCATCACCAGAAAGGAAAATAAAGACTACAAACTTGTTTTTGACAAAAGAGTCTTGCAAAGTGGATTGATATCGGTACCATACAGATATTAGAATGTATCATAGAGAGCTTACTTTGTACTCAGAAACTGTAATTTGTGATGTTATGATTTCTTGTATCGAACAATGCTATTATGATAGTCCTTTTATCTCGATGTATTGGTAATACACAGTTATATTTGAACGTATCATAGATAACTTTATTCTTAGAAACTGTAATTTGTGATGGTGCGACTTCTTGTATCGAACAATGCTATTATGATAGTCCTTTTATCTCGATGTATTGGTAATACACAGTTATATTTGAATGTATCATAGATAGCTTACTTTGTACTCAAAAACTGTAATTTGTGATGGTGTGACTTCTTGTATCGAACAATGCTATTATGATAGTCCTTTTATCTCGATGCATTGGTAATACACAGTTATATTTGAATGTATCATAGAAAGCTTACTTTGTACTCAGAAACTGTAATTTGTGATATTATGATTTCTTGTATCGAACAATGCTACGGTGATAGTCCTTCTATCTCGATGTATTGGTAATATACAGGTATATTTGAATGTATCAGAGATAACTTACTTTGTACTCAGAAACTGTAATGTGAGTATGTTATGATCTCTTGTATCATACAATGCTATTATGTCTTTCTATCTCGATGTATTGGTAACACACAGTTATGTTTTTTTGAATTATTATTAAAATGATGAAAACATTTTCTGTCTTTAAATGAGAAGTATCTTTGGGAAGAAAAAAGGTGAAGATAGCGAACCATATCATGACTTTTCATAGAGTCGTCTTCGACCGGTCACGGTAGCCTAGTGGTAGAGCGTTCGCTTCGTGATCGGAAGACCCGGGTTCGATTCTCAATCGCGGCGCCGCGTCATACCTTTGTTAAACATAGGGAGTGACTATTCCTTCGCCAAGCGCTCGGCACTAGATGTGAAAGTCACGGGTCTTTCGGATATGACCTTAAAAACGTAGTTCCCGTGTCACGGTAAAGAACCCTCACTGCTCAATGGCCCTGAGTGCCGAGTATAGGTCTAAATTTGAAGCCCTTCATCGGCAGACGTCTCCATATGAGTGACAAATTATCGAAAAGGAGTTAAACAGTATACAATCAATCGATCGGTCATACCCTGTGACAACAAGAATTAAACAAAAGACATAGACAAAGGCTCCCGGGGGCCCCATCGCGGAACTTTGGGCCTCCGGATCCCTCATTCCGGAATCCCAAGTTACCGGAAACTTTGATCTGGTTGTAATGCACAGTGTAATGAGCCAATCACCGACGAGATCTCGTGTATAAAAGGGGATTTACAGTTCATGTATGTCATGAAGTGAGAGGACACCAAAGGATCAACATGTATACTTGCCAACATTGTTCGAAGGCTTACGTCTGGCCAAACGACCTCATTCGTCATGTTAAACACAAACACACAGAATGGCAACAGCAGCAGCAACAACAACAGCAGCAGCAGCAGCAACAACAACAACTGCAGCAGCAGCCGCAGCAGCAACAACAACAACAGCAACAGCAGCAACAACAGAAGCAGCAGCAACACCAACAGCAGCAGCAGCAGCAACAACAACAGGATTTTAAGTTTCAACATCCTTTTACGGCTAATGTATCGGGACCAACCTCCTCGGGCAAGACGTTTTTCGTAAAAACGTTGTTGCAACATTGTATGAGCAAGATTTCCCCTCCACCAGAGAGAATCCTGTGGCTCTATAAGCGATGGCAACCCCTGTACGACATCATCAAAGCCACGGTGTATCCCTCAGTCGAATTTATACAGGGTATTCCATTAGATCTGGAGCAAGATTCTTTCGTTCATCCCGGAACGAGGAATCTCGTCATTTTAGACGATCTCATGTCGACGACGGCCAAAGATTCTAGAATCAACGAGTTGTTCACGGAGGGCAGCCATAACAGAAATCTATCGGTCGTGGCTATCAATCAAAATCTTTACTATAACAAAGATCCCACCCAAAGACGAAATTGTCACTACCTGGTCCTGTTTAACAGTCCTGTGGATAGACAGCAAATCATGACCTTGGCTCGCCAGATGTATCCCGAAAATCCTCAACACCTGCTGAGACATTTTAAAGACGCAACTTCCAAACCTTATGGATATCTGTTGGTGGATTTGAAGCCCACTACACCCGAACACTGCGCATGCGCACTGATGTCTTGGATCCTATAAAACAGCAAGAAGTAGAGAATTTCTCTCATTCTCATACAGATATTCCTACCGAGCGGACGTACCACGGGCCGGTTCCGTCAACCTACCAATCCATTGATATCTTGAATCCTATAAAACAGCAAGGAGCAGAGAATTTCCCTCATTCTCTGACAGATATTCCTACCGATCGGACGTACCACGCATCGGTTCCTTCAACCAACCAATCCATCGGTTCGGATTTCCAAAACGTCACACCTACAGAAGATATGCCTTCCTGTGACGATTGTGGTCTGGTCTTTGAAAACGTCCATGATCTTCAAAGACATGTGAAAAGATGGTGTCCAGAAAACGGACAAAGGAAAGATGATGCCCTTATGGAGGTAGATGAGTCAAATGCCTCTCCTTTCAAACCAGAGAAGGAAAATGATGACGAACACGAAGTCTTTAACTTTCTCATGGAAAGGGCTAAAGAAGACAACGAAAAACTATGGGACCTGAAATATGATAAATACTTAAAGGAAGGTCTATCACGAGAAGACGCCAGAGTTCAAACGGAGGAAAAAATGAACTCTAAAGACCTCAAGAAATTCTCAGAAAAGTATGGACAACTCATCCTGTACATCCTTCAGTTACAAAACGGATCCATTCACACCAAGGTCATGGATGATGTTAAAGATTTCCTCTCCGAAGGCTATGACGAACGCAGAGCCATCAGAATGGCTTTGAATAAGAATCGTCCTGTCCTTGAAGAAATGTGGGATCCCGAGAGTGATATGGAGATCGACGATGCTTCCGAAAGCGAAGACCAAGAGAGAGGGGATGACGAGAGCGAGATGGAAGAAGATAGTGATGAATCCTAAGAAGCCTACATAACATTTTGAGACTATTCCTAATTATTGTTTGAAGAATGGACTATCGATTGTATATTGTTGCATTAACTTGAATAAACAGTGAAAAAAGCAGTGCCGTTATTTATGTCATTATAGGTCACGTGATTAGGTATTATATAAGGGGTGGGGGTACATTGAAGCTTCATTTTAACGTTGTCCATGCCAGAAGAAACATGTCTTGGGAGGATTATCTCAAGCAAGTGTATTACGATCCATCCACAGCTGGTAGTTTTACCGGAGTGGATAAATTATTCAGATACGTTCAAAAAGAGGGAAAATATGATATCAGCAAGTACAAGGTACTCAAATGGTTACAGAGACAAGAACCCTACAGTCTTCAGCGACCCGTGAGACGACATTATCGTCGCAATCAGGTGGTCGTCGCTGGCCTTGATGATCAATGGGACGCTGATCTCATGGACATGAACAAATTCAGCAAAGAAAATGAGGGTGTGCAGTTCGTACTCTTGGTCATCGATATCTTCTCCAAGTACCTGTGGATGCGACCTTTAAAGGATAAGAAAGGGTCAACGGCAGCTCGGGCATTCGAAGACGTATTGCGTGAGGGGAGGCAACCTACGAAGCTTTGCACGGACAAAGGACAAGAATTTCGATCAAAAGCCTTCAACAATGTATTAAAGGATCATAACATAGAACATTTTTATTCTCAAAACACTGAAGTGAAAGCCAACTATGCAGAGAGAGCCATCAAGACGATCAAAACTAAGATGTATCGTTACATGACATTCAAACAATCCCGACGATACATTGATCGTCTTCAGGAATTCGCTCGAAATTACAACAAGACGTACCACCGCACTATTGACACCGAACCTGAACTGGTGAGACCAAACAACGAAGAAGAAGTGCGCGTATCAACATTCCTGTCTCGAGAGGAGATCCCACGCAAGCAATCAAAGCGGCCCTACAAGTTCAAAGTGGGTGATAAAGTGCGCATTTCGAAAATATCATCCATTTTTGACAGAGAATACGATCAAAAGTGGTCTGGTGAAATTTTCATCGTGTTCCGACGTTCCCTGAGGAACGGCATTCCAGTGTACAAACTCAAGGACTTTGACGAAGCCATTACTGGGACATTCT